TGAACGTCTGTAGTCGCGTTCTAAGGGTTGACTTTTCAGGTATTCTAATAGTAGATGTGAATTTTTAGAATACCCTGGCTTTGGTGTGAACTATGATTTTTTGTGAATTTAAAGTGTAATAGGTAAATAATGATGAATAATTTGGTAATTTTAAAGGCAACTTTCATAGCGCAAATAGCATCAGTCAATAGAGTACAAAATTCTCTATCGATCAGTATACACCATGACACAGTAAAATAAAAATTTATTGAGATATAGAGCTACAAAAACACATGACATCCGCATTTCAGCTTCAACACCAGACAGTGTTGTTTCGACCCGTCATAGATATCATTAGGGGTACTAAGCTTAACTCCAATGCTTTCAACAGCCATCTTGGGTTCAAACAGGTTGGAGCCTAGCTCCCTTACCCTTTGGACTGAGGACATCCAATGCGTTGACCAACGTATTCGGTTCAATCGGAATGGAGCCCAACTCCCTTACCCTTTTGGCTGCGTTAGTGGAAAGTCATCTTCGTGTCAGTCGAGATGAGTCCAGCTCCCCTACCCTTTCGGCTGATTATTGGTCTCGAGAAGGACCAATGGATTCATGACTGATAGTATGGCGGCATGAAGTCCTCAGACATCAGTGCCGCCCTTCACGGGATACCCCTACCTGGCTGGAGTGGGATGGATGAGAAAGTTATTCATCCGTTAACGGGGGACATGAGGGCCTCATTCGACAGAGTGTCGGGGCCATCTACATCGGGACGGGTCGTCTACAGCATAATCTGTGGCTTCCCTAACTAACGGATTTTCATGAGTTTCCGTACTTAAAAAAACTCTCTGATTCCTCGACTGGATGGACTGCCGAATGGAAGGCAGCTGCAAATCTCTGCGGATGGCTTCGTTCCGCACGAACCAAGGAGCATTCACAATCATCCTAATTAACTTATTTTGTAACTTTTCCAAAATGGAAATGTTGAACGGAGCCGCTTATCCCCACGCCTGAAGCATACATGATGACAGGCTTGAACATCGTGTTATAGATGGTGATTTTATTCTTCGTGCTCAGTTTAGATTTCCTATTGACCAGAGGGTACAGAGTAGCTATCCGACCCTCGATCTTAGACTGAACGCACATGTTGGCTGCGTTACTGGACTCAACCGTGCTTAAAGAATAAGCCTGAGCAAACAAGGGCGATGACATCTCTTCTTACGAAGACGCCATCTATGGGATCGACAGAGAACTCAATCCTCGAATACCAAAGATAAACGAGGCACTCCAGGGCGATCAGTTGCAAAGCGAAGCTTTGGCAAGGACCTCTGTTTTTCACTGCAGCTCTCACTGCAAAGCAACTAGCTGAAAACCAGAGCCGAAATACAACGCATTTATGATTCAACACCAGGCAGCGCTATTTCGACTCGCCATAGGTCACATCAGTGGTAATAGGCTGATGGCAGCTTGAAACAGTGCTGTCTGGTGTCGAATAATTATTGCGTTGTTTTCAGGCAACAAGTTTGCCTTGCAATGAAAGCTTCAGTAAAAGACAGAGGACGAATCTCATCGGTGGTCGAAGGTTGACTTTGCAAAGGAACGCCTCGTGGAGCCTCGTTTATTTTTCAAATTGAAGGATTTAGTTCTCTGTCGATCCCACAGATGGCGTCTTCGTAAGGGTCGATGCCATCGCCCTTGTTTATCAGAAAACAAATTTAACAAATTAGATATAATTTTATTTGGGCAATGAATACATATTTCGAATTCTTTATCAATTTCTAAGCATTCCAGATGATTTGAGTATCAGATCTTTCTCTTCCAAATGTAACATAATATCATGATCGTGATTAATCTCACCATCATCTACCAAAAGATGGAATTGGTCCTCACTTTCAAAAAACTACTTCTATTCTATTTTATTCTTTAGAGAAAAGTTCTCCTGTTTGACCAAGAACTACAACTCCACATCCCTCCGACAGTGAAGTTTTGTTTTAAACAATTTTTTTCAAATTAATATTTGTTAGATTGGAGATATGTCCCTGTGGCTGCTCATTTGTTTAAGGTTGAACTTAGTACACCTCGAACTATACTGTTTGAAAACTCTTTCATTTGGAGAACGGCGTTTATGTGGAATAAACTTCCTGATAACGTTTTTCTGAAAGGATTTAATTTTCAGCGATTCAAATCCAATGTGAATCGCTAGTTTCGCAAGGGCACCGCTCTTGGTGGAATCAAATGTGCCAAGTCACTTGAACACTTTACGTGAAAGTATCTATAGAAGAGAGACAAATCTCCAACCTTTCTTCGATGTTCCAGGCTATCAAGGTTACACGTGATGTTCGCATCTCCAATCAGGCGGATGGCTCTTTTCTGAATAGAATCCAGCAACTTCAGGATATGTTTGGGGCAGAGCTCTATAAATGAGAACAATACTCCAAAGAAGGTCTGATCTGAGCTGTATAAAGCATCAAAAGTTTTCTGGTTCGGAACAGTGTTCCAAGCTTTTGAGAAGCAGCCTTTGCAATTCCAGCGACATGATTGTGCCAAGACATATTGGTGTCCATTTTAATCCCCAACGAACCTATTGAAGCGAAATTGTCTGACCTAACATTATTATATCCGGTTCGGAGACATTTATCTTCTTGGAGAAAACCGATGCCTGGGTTTTTGTGGCATTGAATTGAACCTAGTTACTCCTCTGCTGCCGGTGAAGCCGATGTGTCTCGGTAGCCGATGTCCTGGAATCCAAATGGAACGACGCGACAAGGGTGCAATATATTGAATTCTTGTTTTTTTCCAATAAGTCGTTGATATACAATAAAAAGAGGGTTGGAGACAATATGGATCCCTGGGAAACACCAGCGTTGATGGTGAAAGTATTCGAGAAATATCCATCGACGGTCACTTGCAGGGAACGTTCCTTCAGGAAGCTGAAGAGCCATACTAAAAAATGATCCGACAGGCTATAGCATCAAAGTTTGGCCAGCAAACCCTCATGCCATACACGGTCAAAGGCCTTAGAAATATCAAGCGCAACAGCTTTTGACCCTCCATGTTTCTCGATTGTGTTATTCCAAATATGGGTGACATACGACAGAAGGTTACCTGTTGATCTTTGTTCGCGAAAGCCATATTGATGATCGCTCAAGATGTTGAAGCCTTCCAAATATTTGAGGATATGGTGGTTTACGACTTTCTTCATGATTTCTTATAACAAAGCGACTGGTCTTTAGTTATTTGGAAGATTTTTCCTGCCCATTTTGGGAATAGGCTGAACGCGAGTAATCTTCCAGGAAAACCCCCTTTTTTATAAGACAGGTTGAAAAGTCTGGTGCGAGTTCATTTGCGCACTTTTTGAGTACGGTTGTTGGCACTTCATCAGAGCCAGACGCCTTGTTGATATTGAGCTGTTTCAAAATTCGCTTGACTAGACGCTGTCGAAAAGTAATTTCCGTGAGGATTCTAATGTGAGAATAGTAGGTGGTGACTTTCCCAGAAAATCGACTGTGGAGTGGGAGGCAAATTATTCAGCTAGAAAATTTGCCTGTTCTAAAGCTGTTGTTGCAATTGAACCATCCACTTGTGTTAGTGGTGGAATTGTGACTTTTGTAAAAGTTCTGATTAACAGCTTTAGCTACCGACCAAAAGCATATAGACTCGGTGGGATTGGAAAGCAGTTTATCCCAAATTCTCTGATGGTGAGTTCTTTGCTTTCATTTATCCTAAGTGTGTAGCTATTGCGAGCATTAACAAACGTAGTTCGGTTTTCGGCACTGATATTTTTGTGCCACTGCCGGTAGTCGAAATTTTTGGAGGTAACACCCTGCTCGCAATTTTTGTTGGACCAAGGTTTGCCGTTACAAGTTCGTTTCATTGAAAAAGGAATATATGCATCCATGGATGATAGAATAACTACCGTGACTTTCAGAAGCACTAGTTGATGGATCTTTAGAGCTGAGACAAAGATCTAGTCAGGGAAAATTTCGGAAATGGTCTTGAAAATCCTCCCATTCAACTGATCTGTAATGCCAAACTTTGTGCGGCTCAGATTGTTCCCCAACATTTATCGGTAATTCACTCAACACTGAAATTAGTTTGTGGTCAGAAGATCCCAGTGGAGACTTTACGGTGACTGTGTAAATTTCTGGATAGGTTGTTGGATATATATATCCAGAAGACTAGCATATTCTCCATCACGATCAGGAATCCTGGTTGGCTTATTTATAATCTGGAAAGTCCGCTGCTCATTGCAAAAGCCTCAGCTTCGTGACCTTGTTCATCGTTGATATTTGAAAATTTGAGCCATTCGATATTGTGGACATTGAAGTCACCGAATATGGAAATTTCGGCACTAAGATGATTGATTTGCAGAAATTCAATGGTGTTTGCAAGTGAAGAGAATAGTGCCCTATATTGTGTATCGCTTGGTGGTCGATAAACGCAGCATATGAGTTTGGTGATCTTCTGTACTATTATTTTGAACTATTCAATAGACTACGAATCATGCTATTTAATGCTGCTACTTCATGCTGATGTGGATGTGTGGAAAACTATGTTTATTATTTTTTTCTAGTTACTTATCTCCGGGTCCCGCCGATTTAGAAATCGGTAAGACCCAAGAGCTTACCCAGGTTAGACATATAACATTTTTAATTACTGTATGCTGTTATGTACACAAACATTCAATACAACTGCAAGAAACAACTTTGAAGAAATACTATATGTTTGAGGAATTGATAGTTTGCTGAATGATATTTCCCATTCTCACAAACAACAATCTACTTTGATTAGGTGTTTGCATACAACTCACTGCGCTTCTTAACTGGACCAAAATCGTGACATAAATATGAAGGAAATAATCGAAATGAATTAACTGTTACAAGTTCGTAAGGCCAGTGCAGGTTATTCGCCTTTTTGAGCAAATAAAAATTCTACAAAGAACCGTTATCGATTAATATCACACATCCAAATCAAAATCAGTAGACTACACCTTTATTTGTTCATGTCTTCATTAATTGGTACACCGATTTGAAGGGTTATATCTTGATAATTGATCAAAAACTAACTAGCGGTTCTCAACATATAAATAGTCTGGAAGACGAACTGTTTAACGACATTTCAGTGACAATGTTGCGAGTGTGCACATTCTTAAGTGTGATAGTGCTAGCCAGGGCGCAGATACCCAGTTTTGGGTTCTGTCCGGAATATATTCCCATGGCCGATTTTGACATGAATAGGTTTTTGGGAAAATGGTACGAAGCCGAAAGATATTTTCAGTTCTCGGAAGTTGCTGCCAGATGTGTTGTTACCGATTACGCGAAGGGACCCAGTGGAAAAATTTATATGTCCAATGAGGTTACAAATAGACTGTAAGTATGAAAATTAATCTGGAAATTTTTAATTTTGAGTTACAATTTCTGGTTTGAAATCAGAATACCTACGTATAGCTGACATTTCGAATATTTTGAGTACGAATTTCTCAATTTCTACCGAAAGCAATTATTATTTTGAATTTCATATTATGATTTCTAAAACTATTCTCACCCTGTAGAAAACAATAGCTTCATAAGTAATATTTTTATTTCATTTCAGGACTGGAATAAAACGCGTAATAGACGGTACAATACTGATTGCAGGCAAAAATGGAGAAGGAAAACTCACTGTGAAATATCTTACATCGCCAATAGCTACTGAGACTACTCTGACAGTGCTAGATTCTGACTATGACACATATGCAGTCATGTGGAGCTGTAGTGGTTTCGGACCCGTACATGCACGTAAGGGCATTTCAGTAAATAATTAGTACATTTGAGTTGAGTTAAAGTTTACATTAGAAGTAATATAAAAGTAATCTTAAAAAATTATTTAAATCAGTTTAAATTATAAAAAAGGGCTATGATCGGGCTGATATTTACAGTAGTTCAGCGACAATATTTATTGACGGATGAACGGAGAGAATACATTTTGTATGTGATAAAATGACCAACGTTTGGAAAACAGTGTAAACTAGTATGAAATGAGATAAAATAGTAGAGAATAATAAGAACCATAGGTTGAGTAAAGTCATTGTGTTACATGAAAGGTTCTGAAAGCAGCTATAATATTACAGTTTGTTGGTTTTGTTCTTTTGGTGGGTTTAGAGGGGGTAGATCTTATATTTTTAATTATGTTGATTAACTGATAAATTCGTGGTTCCAAGTGAAATGCATTTCTCTGTTCAATCGTTTTCCTACAATGAGTGGCGATCACAGGAGTTCCCAGCTAGGGTTAACTGAATATTTCCTTTTTGAATGTTATTGAGAATATTCATACAGAATAATTGCCTCATGTCAGGGACCTGTGTGGCTCTGAAAACACTGTCACTTGAGTATGTTCAGCCTTTGTGAAGTATTATTTTCAATATCCACTTTTGTATTGTATCAAGATTCACCAAATAACAATCTTCAACTCCTCCCCATCATATTATCCTGTATGACAACTGAGACTGAACAAGTGCAAAATATAGGGTTTCCAAATGTTTCATGTCTAGGAAGTTTCTCAGATATTGGAATTCAGAAAGTGTACTTCTCATCTTTCTTACTATTTCTTTCATTTATGAGTCCCAACGAAAGTGTCTATCAATTGTTATCCCTAGATATCCAATTGAGTCACTTTCATTTATACAGTAAGTATTGTTAATATTGTAAATATTGTCCAATATCAGGCAATCTATTGGAGTATGACAAAAATGGTAAGTAATTCGTTTTATTGAAGTTGATTGTGAGTTCGTTTTGTCGAAACCAACTTTCTGTTGCTAGAAAATCTTCGTCTACACGTAACTTGAGTTGTTCCCACGTAGATATGTGGATAGGATAGCAGTGACAATCGCAAAGTTCAAAAATCTACCTCTTGTATCGAGAAGGAGCAGTTCATTGAGTTTAAAATGTGAAAAGAACGGGACCTAGAACAGTTTTTTGAGGTATCCCAAAACCCACAGTTTCCAAATTACTCATTATGGAATCTCTCCACTTTTTATTTTTATTTTCTTTTTTCATTTCTTTATTTTTATTTATTCAATTGTTCTATTTTTACTTGTATTTTATTTCACTATTATTTCATTTCAGGTTTATTTTGGTTAATATAATTGTTATTTTCAGCTATTCATTTTTAATTCTTCTCTTTTAGTTGTTTCATGGATTTCAAATCATTTTATATAGTAGACAATGGAAGTCCGAACTAGTGAAATTCATTATAAAGATATATTTACCCAGCGTTTTTAAGTCTCACCTCTGAACACTCCACACCAAAGCAATTCAGTAAAAGTTTCTGATCTACACCTCTAGGTGTACAAATACCACCACAACGTAAAGCTACAAATTTCAAAAATTTCTGTGATTATTTTCTAGGATATTAATATATGTATTATAGTGTGGATTCCATGTGAAAAGAAAAAATTTGTGTTTGAACGTGAAAATGCCACAATAAGAGATTTTAGAGCTAGCTCAATTTCTAATTATGAATTCAAAATTAATTGTTGCATCTGATGCATTGTTATCAGTATGTGAGGAGAGATTGAGCTTGGTGTCAAAAGTGACGCCGAAATCTTTCCTTCACATTGTTTTTAAATTTATATCAGAGAATTCATCAAATTGTTTATGAATGAGAGAATATAGGACCCAAATTGGACCCCTGAGTACTCTTGATGGAACCAGGTCGTACTTCACGTCGAAATCGTGGTTGTTCTCTGAAAGATTACTTGCTTGATTGCTGGATTTGGTTTTCTTCAGTTCAAAGCCTCGTTTCGAAATTTCCAGACGTTCTTCCTGTATAAACTGTTGGGCATGATCTACATGCTAGGTTGTAGATACGTGATTTGTTGTCTTCTTTCAATGTTTGATTTTTTGTTTTTCTCAAGTCTAGCAAAGGCGTTATCTGTCTAGTAGGCTATAGAGCCTATTGTTTTCAAAATTTCAATGGAGCAATCAGTGTCCACCTGTTCACCTAGAATTATAAATTGGTACTTGATTGAGTTTTGTCATTTGTATAACATGCAAAGTACCATTTGATCTGAAGAAGATGCTGTGTAATGGAATGCATTTTGAATAAAATTCATAACGTGAAAATTGTTAAATTATTGTTATGGATATATTCACCAAAATACTAGACCAATTTCCTTTTTGTCCTATAAGTACTACTATTTACGAATTTCTAAAAACGACTCTGAGCAATCGACTCTGAGCAATGGAATATTCACTTTCAACAAAACACCTTCCATGTTTCGATCCTTCACAGTTTTTTTCGAATTCAATGATTTCCAGGGTTTCAAGAATATTCGGGTCCATGAATTACATTCAGATATAGTAGTTCAACAGTATTTATACAGGGCGTTCCAACAAAAACTTGACCCCCCTGTAAGTCAGAAACGGACGTGTAATCGAAAATTTCAAAGAACACGTCAATTTTTAATTCTAGGGGGAGTAATTCTGATATGAAAATCATACCCGAATCTTCACCCCCTGCGGTCAGCAACTACTCCCCTTATTTTTTTCAATGGCATGAGGGGTCGAGTGATACATTGAAGAACAGAATTCTGCGAAATCCTACCAATGCAAGGCATCCTACCTATCTCCATAATATTTGTTTTAGTGACGAATGTATATTTTTTTAAACGGCAATGTTCACAGACAAAATTGCCATTATTGGAGTGACACCAACCCTCACGTTTTCCGGGAAACACATACCCAATATCCAGAAAAAATTAACGTTTGGGCAGGAATATTGGGAAACCATATTGTAGGACCTCTATTTAATATATAGCTGTTTCAATTTATGTACCAACATAAACCTCTTTATTTTTGCAGAGAGCGTTTGGGTTATGACGAGAGATCGCATACCACCAGGTCCAGTTTTACAAACAGCCTACGGAGTCTTAGACAAATACAAGATAAGCAGAAACTTCTTTGTGAAAACAGACCAGGAGGGTTGTGCTATTGCTGCTTCCGACATAAATGCAGCTAATGGTATAACGTCTGTATCTACTGTTGCTCAAGCTACTGGACTAGAACAAAGAAAACTTCCGTTGCTCAATACCAACGTGAAAATTCCTGAGAACAAAGTTTCAACAACTGAATTGAATGAAGAAATGAAACCTCAGCAGGTAGCTGAAGTACTTCTGAAAAATAGTCCTGCTCCGATCATCACTGAAAGCAGCAAGAAACTGGAAGAAAGCACTACTCAAGAAAAAATTGTTCCAGAAAAAGAACAGAAATGAATCAACCAATATGAAAGGACTGCAGCCGAGAAAATTTAGGAAAGTCAAAGATACGGTGGTCGAGAGGACAAAAAAATTTGAATATATGTACAGACTGAGTGTTTCACCTTATTTATTAGTGTAATTTATTTACTATTCAAGAATGTATAACCGAATACTTGTATTTAAATAACGATGAAAAAAAATGATACATTAAGAATGAATAAATATAACAAATTATCTAAAAGAACAATTCGTTCAGGTCAGTCTCAACTCCCTACACTGTAGGTCAATGGACTGACAACTATCAGAAAACAATTACTCTCCACGAAGGGCGTTGGATCATATCCAACAGGTGTCAATGCAGGATTCTTCACTGAAGTTATTCCTTCATATACTGTTGGCGATACAACTGCCGCAATAGATTTTCAAATATAGTATTTTGGTTTACTTTCTCGAACCAATTTTTATATATTCATACTTCTATTTTAGACAATTTTTAGGTAATGCGAAGAAGCACATTTAAAATTTTGAAATTAGCGCTCCACTTCAACAAGTAGAGACATCATTACTAGATCCTGATACTTCTTCCAGAAATACATTCAAAATAATAGAACCAACTATTAATTCGATTCTTAAACGAAGAATCCTCGAAAAATCACCTTTTCCCATGAAGTCATGAATCTTAACATAAATATTTCATTTCTCATGGAAAGAATATTTCACAGGAAGCATCGATGCTCTCCGTGGAACTTCAATACAGGGCAAGAAGGAAATGACAAACATCTAACTTTCTGATAAGATTTATTTTCATTTCTTTCGTAAAAAGTTTACAACACCGCGACACGTGTTTCGCTGTACAATAGCTTTCTCAATCGGTAAGTATCGGTCAGTTCCATTCAATTTTTGACAATCATCTATGAAGACCCTCTGTATGCATTCTAGAAGTGTCATAGACGGCCTAAATATCATTTCCACATATTTCCATGTGCATAAAAGAAACGAATTAAAATATTTCTATAATACCTATTGGTTATTACCTCTTTCTGATATTTTTTTATGATGATCGAAGGAAAGTCCACGGCTAATAGAGAATTTCAAAAAAAGGTAACAAGTTGCTAACGGCAGATGATCTAATTACGACGAAAAAAATTGTTGAAGATAAGTTTCACCATCAAACTACTTAAAGAAATTATTTCTGTAGCAGACCCAAATACCCTGCAGGAACAAAAGTTTCAAAACATTTCATTTTCAAAAACTTCATGCTTATAACCTCCCCCCGAAATAAATTCTGGCTACGGCGCTGCATAAATTGATGATGCATGTGAAAAAATATATTAGCCCTACTGTGAATTATTTGATACTGTAAAATTCAATAATACAGGGAAATCCTAAGAAGTCTCAAATTTTAGCAAATTTAAAATTTGGAAAAACTGCGAGGTTTATTTCTGCTATTCTCCAAAACGTTATATGGACGTTATATGGCGACACGGGAGAAGAAGATCCCAGATTCCGCAGTGCGATTCCACAGAATCTTTTTCATCGGTTGTATTCTTCGATTCCCGTTAAATGACCAGTAAAAATTTAGAAAACACTACATACCTGATCACAATCATCTTCTGATGGTGCTAACTTGATTAGCGAAACGCGCGATTATAAAACAGTGTCCCCGCTGAGTCTGTCTCTCTAAAAGCCATAAACTCATGAACCACCAAACGAATTTGCCTACGGTGTTCACCAATTTGAGAATGATTAAAGAGGAACGTTTATGTGTATAATGTATTAATGTTTTATATAAATCAGTTGAAATATGACGATGTAATCCGAGCGAATTCGGGGCGGCGGGGCTATCCGAGCGAAGCTGGCGAGCTGTCATAGAAACGATGCCTAATATCTTTGTGATAAAACAAAACAATTCACTGCTTTGCTTTTTTCTGTAGTGGTTAATTTCTATCTTTTAAGGATAGCTTACTGAATCCATTTTATTATTCAAAAAAACTGTAAAATTGGAAAGCTTTTCAGACGGATACGACATTAATCTTTATCAGATCAAATACGTTAGTTATCTTGAGCATTTTATGCACCTTTCAGTTGCAGTTTACACCGTACAATTGGAATTGAAATTTCAAGAGTTACCACAAAATTACAACTATTGCGCGACAAAACAAATTCAAGCGGCACTGATGCGACACGCGTGATGGCGAAAAGTTGCAATTGCGTTGGGTTTGTTTTAAGAATGGAATCACTATGAAAGTTGAAGTCGCATTTTTGTTTTATGTTGTCTTTGTGTGGATAGCTATTCACCTGTTTCAAAATTAATATATAGTAGACAATGGAAGTCCGAACTAGTGGGATTCAATATCCCCCGGAGCGTAGGGCAACACCTGTGTCTCGTCAATATCGTACGAGTGCTGTAGATGGTAATATAGCATTCTTAGGGCTGCATTATGTCGATGTATATAGGCCGAGACCGCATATGCTGGACATGTTTATAGCAATTGCATTAGGGTCTCGTGCGCCTCGCGGCAGGCCCTGCACCTTGTGTCAGGAACCTCTATACTCATCATGCGACTGCGTGACTAAGGTGTTGAAGACACCATCCCGGCAATCCATGATGAACCCCTCAGTTTCTGAATTCAGCCCACTCGACCTGAGCAGGGCGAAATTCAGGCGCTTTGATAAGCCAAGGTCTTCAATGTTATTGAAAAAGCCCCATGCATTGGCTTATTCTTGTGTTTCCGCAGAAGTAAGGTGATCTCTGCGGCTTTTATATGAGCTTTTTGCTGAAAGGGTTCCAACTCAGTGACAGAATTGTATCGAAAACTAAACCGAGTTCATCAGCTGCTCGGGCAGCTGCCCTAAAGAGAAATGCTCCAATTCATGAGATCTCATGGTCGCGGACCATGCGGAGAAGGGGATCCGAACTCTTGACGACTTTGCAAGCTGTATCCAGCACCATTCTGTCATGTACACACTCCAAACTCAAAAGTCCACGGCCTCCCTGTTGTCGGGGGAAGAATAACCGTGGAACGGACGATTTGGGATGCAAACTCCTATAGAGATGCATCATTTTTCGGGTCTTTACGTCGAGTTGATACAGCTCCTCCTGAGTCCACTTCACTACTCCAAACGAGTAGAGTTGGTTGCGGCAACTTTTTTCTTCCCCGATAGTTCCGATGACCAGATCTGTCGAAGTTTATTTTTATTATTATTATTAAACACGTATCGCGGTTTTCAAAACACTCATGAAGAAATTCACAGTGTCCATTTTATCATTGAGAATCTTAAGAATGACTTTTTCCGTAATATTAAAGAAAAAATTCATCATCTCATTCTCAATTCAGTCACAGGAACATACAAAACTGCAATGTGTATAATTTTACCGGATTCATTATAGACTGATGTTCATACCTCGATTCGTTAATTCTGAAACCGTTACAGTGACCTACTGTGTGGGAAGTTTCGAGATAGCTTCAGTTGTTTACTATTGATCACCACGATCACTTTTAGGTTGACAAAATCGAGAATTGCATAGCAAGTCAGTTATGTTCGATAAATTAGTGATAATTTCTACCGTACTGACCGGCATAGCTTCACAGGTTCCATTTTTCGGAAGATGCCCAGACATCAAAACCGTTCAAAGTTTCGACGTTGAAAGGGTTTGTATTTGTTGCACTCTATTGTTCTTATCGTATTTAGTGAACTGGTGATCGAACAGTACATGAATGTATTGCTTAAAGCAATGCAAGCAAAATAAGTAAAAAAAAAGGGTTATAGAGTTTTATTGAAAAAAAGATAATAATGATGTAGATAATGTACTGAAAACTGAAAGATAATTCGGAAGGTCCTAGGTGGCAGTCATCACACCACTCTCATCAGCAACCTACGGTTTTGATCAGATATAAAATAATAACAAAATTTTCCATAACTCCAAATAACGAACATGTGATCTACATCCCTCAACCAGTGCTTCGGTTGTTTTTCTGAGGTTTGAATGGCTCTTTCTTCGAATTGTTCTAAGTAGAAATTCGCCACTACTGGGCTAAGTAGACTGCCCATGACGACTCCATCAACTTTTTCATAAAAAGTTTTATTTCATTGAAAATAAGTGGTCATTAGTGAATGTCGAAATAAGTTGATATATTGTGGAAAGATCTCCTCTATGTAGCTGAGGCATTCTTTGAGTGGTACATTTGTGAATAAGGATACAATATCGAAGCTAACTAGAATGTTCGCCCCAAGGTGATGCCTTTCAAATGTTTGATAAAGTCACGGATAAAGTCAGAGGCATCACCTTAGAGCCAAACGACATTTTAGTTACATTCGATATTGTATCCTTATTCACAAATGGATTTCCTCGAGGAATCCCTATGCTACATAGAGATCTTTCCACAAGACACAAGATATCAACTTATTTCGACATTCACTAACGACAACTTATTTTCAATGAAATAAAACCTTTCATGAACAAGTTGATGGAATTGCCATGGGCAGTCCACTTAGTCCAGTAGTAGCGAGTTTCTACTTGAGAAAATTTGAAGAAAGAGCCTTTCAAATCTCAGGAAAACGACCGAAGCACTGGTTGAGGTATGTAGATGACACTTTCATTGTTTGGAGTCATAGAAAAGAAGAACTTTCTGAATCACGTGAATAGCTTTCATTCGAAAATCCAGTTCACCATGGAATTAGAAGAAAACCTCCAAATCCCTTTCCTTGATGTTTTAGTCATCAAGGAAGGTAATCAACTAGGCCATAAGGTGTACAGGAAGAAGACAAACACAGATTATCCAAAACAGAAAAGAACCATCATCAACACCCTAGTGAACAGAGCTTTGAGAATATGTAAAGAAAGATACGTCGATGACAAAACAAAACACCTAACAAGTGTGTTTAGAAATCATAACAAAAGAAGACCACTGCAAAACCCAGAAACCATCCAAAACATTGACGCCAGCCGTGAAAACCTATATTCCTATATTTGATACATTTTGATAAAATTTTTCAAACCGAAAATATTACCGAATGAACTAATACAGCATTAATATGTTATTCAATTATCTATTTCAGTACTTGGGAAAATGGTACGAAGCAGAAAGATACTTTGCAGTGTTCGAATTTGGTGGAAAATGCGTCACAGCCGATTATGAAGTCAGTCCCAACGGTGCTGTTAACGTGGTCAACCAACAAATAAGCACATTGTGAGTATTTCAGATTAAAGTGAAAATATTTAGGATCTCATACTTTTGTTTTAGTACCGGTATTCACTCATCCATAGAAGGAAATGCAAATCAAATTTCAAGAACTGAGGAAGCAAAATTGACCGTTAATTTTCCTTCTCTTCCAGGTAAGAAAAGGTATAGAAGAATTCAAGATAAACTACAAAGGGGTAAGTTTAGGTAAAACTAAACGAAGATCACCTGCAACATACTCAAACTGATGGCAGAGGAACTTGACACAAAAACAGTAAAGTCTATTACTTGACATTCTTCCAGCTAAAGTTCTACCTATAGAACGATTACCTTATTCTACATCTACACGATCCTAATAATTTTCGAAGAAGAGAAAGTGCGTAATGAAACCTGTGAATTTTGATTGTTTTACAATTTTACACAATGTAGTTTAGCCTTTAACTAAAAGACGTCAGCACGATATGATCCCATTGATTATGCACCAGACAAATGAAGAATTACGAGAAATAGACGCCAAAATATGTGTTGTCAACGTTCTGCTCAGCTGTCACATTAACTGATATCGAGGTTACCAACTAGGCTTCGAACATAACTCAGGAGTGTAACCCCTAGGCAACCCCTCCACCTCCCTAAATCTTTAACTGTATTACAGAAGGAAGTATTGGAGAATTATACACATTTTTTTTCGTCGTTATCAACAAAATAGTTTATTTAAGTAGATAATATGAAAATGCACTTCAATGCAATTCAAAAATTGCTATGGAGAATCATCAAATCACTATTAAAGAAGTTACTGGGGCTGCCGGCATATCGTCAAAGTTGCTAAATTTTGACAAAAAAAACGTCACTTTTTCTCAGTTTTCTTCGATTACTAAGGCGTAGTGTATCATCAGTTCTTGCCATATGGTCGTACGGTCAGTAAAGGGTATTATCTTGAAGTTACGCGCCGCTTGCGGGAAGCAATACGAAGAAGGCGTCCGGTATTATGGAAAAACAATCCATGACTTCTGTATCTGTTTCTGTTTCAACCTGTTCAGTTGTCATTGCTCGTTGGTAATTTTTTGGCCGAAAACAACACCGCAATGAAGCCTCAACCCTCGTATTCGCCAGATTTGAGCCCCTGTGACTTTATCCTGTCCCCAAGATTGGAGAGACCCATGGAAGGACGGCCTTTTGCGACGATTGAGGAGATAAAAACCGAATCGCTGACAGAGTTCAAGGCGTACCAAAAAGTACATATCAGAACTACTTCAAGGATTGGAAAAAACACTGGCACAATTGAATTATATCTCAGGGGGACTACTTTGAAGGGGACAAAATATGAGTACATGAATAAATTAATATTTTTTGAGAAAAATGAAAATTCACCTTATTTTTTGGATAGGCAGCGTATACATCACTGCTGACAGCCTTTCATTCTTGATTTGTTTTTCTTGTCTTTCATATCTGAACTAATGCAGTAATGTTGATTTATTTATATTTTCTTTTGGTATATAATTGAGTCAATACTGAAAATGTATTTTTGTATAGCTGAATTTCAAAAATGTTTTAGTTACACATTTTTCTTTGCGTTTCAGTTAATTTTGACGCACCCTATTGGATAATAGGTACAGATTATGACAACTACTCGGTGGTATGGTCTTGTAATGATTTCGGGATTTTTAGTACGCGTGAGTATATGGTACCTCTTTTTGTTGTTGTTGATGAATATTCAAGTGACCCAAAACATGCGAAAAACTGTGTGATGTTGATTTATGTTTTGGGATTAGTTAGGTCAGTTTTTCAGGTTATGAGTTATAATATTTGAAATGGCAAGGGTTGAGTGGTAGAGCACCCTCGGGTGAACTCCCGCTTGGGATTTCTGAGTAGCATAAGGCGAATATCATTTAACATTTTATTTTTATTGAGAACAAAGACATTAATATCATATTATTACTATTATATCCACATTTTAAAAACACTTTTTAATTAATTACTTTTGGGTGGAAGGCAACGAACAATAGGAATTTTTATAGCCTTTCTGGGGGTTTTCACCTAACCCAATTTGAGGTAAATGTGATGAAGAACTGTATACAGATGTAATTAGGCACATTTCTAGTTAATCGATAAATACAACGTATTTTTACAAAGGAAAATGCGCTATTTATAAGTAGCTTGTTGTGTTTAATAATTTAATCAATAGAAAAAACCTAAGAAATTGTGCAGATACTCATTTCGGAGGCGAATGAAAAAATGATTCTCACAAAAAACTTTTCTTTTCTTCAAAATATGAGATAATAACTTTAATTATGAATTTTATTCGTTTAATATAATGATAATAATCATTGGTCAATAATTATTTAGGTTAGGTTAGGTAAGGTCCAAAGTGAGTGGGTCTATTCGACCCTCCACCGCAACCCGTAAGGGTTTGTTGTGGGTCACACTATTCACACTCGCCCAAATAAACCCAGCTTCTCAACGAAGCCGATTAGTTTGTATGGTGAGTGGTCTTTCAGGTCAGATGGTGAGAGTACGGATCTGCCGAACTCAAAGAACCTGATTCAGTCCCCAGCGGGACAGGCACAAAGTATGTGCTCTGCTGTTCCATCATTTTTCAAATAGAGGCGACACACACTGTCTTCCGACAGTCCGAGTCTCTGCATATAATGATTCAAATGACAGTGACCTATAAGAAGGCCAGTTACACATCGTAGTTCATCCCTACTGTAGTCTAACAACTGTTTGGTAACAAGCTTCGAAGGGTGAATAAACGCCGTGGAGTGGCCAATCCTGAAAGATTCTGTCAGAAGTCCATAAATCTTCTTGTCATCCAGGTGTTCAATATTTGTTTGGCAAAGCCCAAAGCGATGCCAATGACAGGTTATGGTCCGATGAAGCTGCTTGCAGCACCCTCCTTTATACGGGAGTCAGCAGCCTCATTGCCTTCCAGGCCAGTATGGACAGGAATCCAGACCAGAGACAATCTGTTAAGTCTTCCTATCGAAGAAAGTTGTTTTTGGCAGTTTGCTACCAATTTAGACGTTGCTCGGTAGGAGCCAAGAGCTTCCAACGCCGCTTGACTATCCGAGAATATTTTTATTGACTCGTGTATGAAGTTGGATTCTTTCAATCTCTCCGCACACATTCCAAAAGCGTAAATTTCCGTTGGAAATACAGTCATATAGGCTCCGGCAGGTTGATATCTCTGTCCTGGGTCTGGGACTAAAAATACCTGCACCAGAACCGGAAGGTATTTTTGATCCATCTGTGAACCAACAACTACCTGCTCTTAATATTTCCTTCTCCCGGAGGATCCAGTCCTCTCTACTTGGGACAATAATCATTTAACTCATATATATGAATATACTCATGATGCACTGTTTGTAACTTTTGGTGTAGTAATGAACATTACTACACCAAACACAAAATCGTTATTTTTAACACCTCGACACGTGTTTCGATCACCAAGTGATCATCTTCAAAGAAGAAGATTAAAACTCTTAAACTCTTAGAAAAGAGTTTTAATCTTCCTCTTTCAAGATGATCGTTTGGTGATCGAAACACGTGTCGAGGTGTTAAAAATAACGATTTGGTGTTGGGAAAAAACTCCAGTAATATTCATATGAATATAGTTTATGCAAATTAATATGGAATGACCCACGTAGTATCATGCCCTTTTGTGTTGAACAAATAGTCTTTAAGGGATTTCAAAAAGGATTGTCTTGGTTGAAATCTATAATATCAAAAATATGATATCTATAAATCGAAAAGATAGTATAAAATAAAAAAAACCTTATATGAAAATCTAAATTATCTATATCTCCACCTTTTTTTTCATGTTTCATGTTTTCCACACTTCTATTTCAGTTGTTAAATTGAACTTTGATCAGTAAAGGGTATAACTGAGGTTTTTGAGACGAAGATTTGAGCCACCGTTAAATTAATTTCTCTGTGAACAAACATAATTTATATTTTTAATCAACTGGTTGAATTTTGAGAGCCGACAGGTAAGAGGATTTTCAGCCTACAGTTGTTGTGTAATTATAAAACCTTATGAAAGTAGAGTTCAGTTATAAACAAAATTGGTGTTTCATTGAAAATATAATCAGTGGGATGATTACGTTTCCTACTGTATATTTTTTGAGGATGTTTTTAACACTTTCAGTGGTTATTTATGGCAGCTGTACATACTACTTCAAGCCGATAAGCCATATTGAATGTGGGGTTCCGGAAGGGCTCAGTATATAGGATCTAGTTCATTGATCATTTCAGCTTGATATGAAAAATCACTGATCTCAGTTTTTTCACCACTTCATTGATATTATTAGCCCACTCAAGTTGGCTATCAAGATCTATCCAGAGGTACGTAATATAATGTGATATAATGAAATAAATTATTCTCTTTAACGGTCAGGTGATCAATTTTTATAGGTATTTCCTCTGGTATCAACGTCATAACGTCAACTCCATTTCACCTAACCATTTGTTTATTTTCCCCAGATTTTGTACTGCTTTGTACTTTACCTCTTCTCAAACGTCAAAAAATGGAGCCATTCAAAAAATATTCTGAGGCTAGTGCCTTTTCAATTTTTTTTGTCAATTTGATTTTCATTAGCTTTATATGAAATAAGCTTTCCAAACAATATTTCAGTTTTCTCAATCGAAAAGTGAATGATCGGTATCTCTGATAATTTAACTGAATAATTTAGCTGAATAAAAGTCGAGCAAGCACAATAGAAATCGTTCCCAGTGTCAGCCCATCCACTCCGCCGCTGTTTGAAGAAAGCATAATCAGTCGAATTGACAAGGTTTTAAAAACTCGTGAAGGCGTTAATGTTTACAATTAAGATAATTGTCTGGTTCATAGCTACCTACACGCCTGGAGTTATTTTATGGGGCTATCTACTCTTCTACGAGTAGTTGTACCCATACTTTAACAAAGTTAGTCTCGCTAACAACAATAGTACATTATTTGAATCAAAATAAATTTACGATTTTCATCCACCTCTTTTGTTTGCATGTTATGGTAGCGGATGTTAAAAAATAACCAGTATAAGCACTGTACAGAAGTAAACACATATAAGTCTCGTTATAAGTCGTTTACCATCGGTTCGTGGGTTACCAGAATCGTCTATTCTCGGCATTATCATCCGTGTGTTGCCATGTTTATCGAGTAAACAAACAAATACAGAAAATGATTCGAAACAGGGTTTGGCTGTAATTGACATTTGATAAAATTCTTCCAATTGAATCATAATTATTAATTAGCATATTTCAAAAGACATATTCTGTAATCAAGTCTTTCTTATTTAACAAAAGAAACTAGAATCTTTTTGGCGATAACCCAATTGATCTTTTAGATTGTTTTATTCTGACATTCAATCCTAGTAATATCTTTGATAGGCCCCAAGTTGGGATACTCCCAAGACTGGGAAAATGATACTGGCTTCTTCCTTCAAGGTAATCATCTTTATTCTCTCATAATGTCTGACAGTTTTGAACTCTCAAGTTAGTTCGGAATAAATGGTATTCGGTTCCGCTTGGTAGTGAAGTCTTTCATTTAAAAACTGTAATACTGAAATAAAAAATCTTGAAGTCAAGAGAGAAATACCAAATATTTTCTCGGTCTATTTGGGTCCAAAGTGTTTCAGGTAAAAACAAACCACAATGTGCAAGTATTAATGAATTGTTTGGTGAATATTAATTCGACAGGAAATGTCAATGCTACCTTATAGTTCAATATGGAAATTTACATTTTGACTTGTTTTTAACCTTTTCGGTGTGACATATTCTAAAAATTATTGAAATGCCATTTTCTACATTACATACAATTTTACATTCTGGTTAAAATTACTGTCAACATAAAAAATTGTCCTCCATGAATACTTTTCAATGAACTCGAATAAAGAGTTGGCCAGAAAATCATTTTTTAGTGCACAATTAGATTAGAATTCGCGGTAGAAAGAATTTCCATTGAAATTTCGATCAATTTGTTGAAAAGTAATACAATTTTTAGATATTTACTCAAATTTCCTAATCGTCTCCTATCCCTTATAGAAGATAATCAATCAAAAATCTAATTGTTATATTTTGTGTCACATTAGCCTCGATGGCCAAAAACACAAATATTTCACACTATTTATTTCTTCTTCACACGACAGTGGAAATTTTTCATCAAGATTTTGATAGGCCTTCATGAGATTTCCTATAACACTGTCATGAATTTCTAAATTTTGCATAAAAAGTTATTTTTAAAATGCTATTGAAGTGATTACAAAAAATTTCTATTCACCAGAAAAAAGAATTTGAAGAAAAAATTGGGTTTCCAAATCATCAACACCTGGGTTTATTACACCATTTTTCCCCAAAAAAATTATTTGAAACTATAAAACTGATAGGTACCTCCGGTGATTTGACAATTTCATATAACTGTTTCATATGAATTGTGAATGTATTCACGAAAATGACGTGGTCGCGGTTACTACCTTGCATCATATACAGATCCCAAGAATACTTGAAAGTCTGGCAACATCGGAAACGAGTGTGGCACATGGTGAGATGCGGGCGTTGCTGGTTGCTGTTAAAACATAACATACAAACCCGAGAAGGGGACACTGGCAGAGTTAAATAACAAAAGAAATACGATGTAGTGAAGTGGACTATGGTGTTATCAACCCCAAAATTCAAACTCATATTTCAAATCATGTGAAACGCAAAGATCATTCATCAAAATGAAACTCTTCACACCCGGTCATGTAATCCTACTAATATCTATTCATTTTGCAACAGTATGTGGATACTTGAATTTGTTTTTAAGTCTTCCTGAGGTTCAAAGACTTTTAGGTAAGTGGCTTTTTGTTCAAATGTTTATAAATAGAACTCTCAAATGTGATGCGCATGTGTAGGATCGACCAAAGGTAAAGTTATTAACCTTAGCAACCCCTATCTGGAACTATTTTACACTTTGATGAACTAACGAGAATTCAATAAGCTATCGGAGAGAGAGATGTCTATCGCATTCAAACGATTGTGCTTTAAGTAACGGCAATACAACCCCTTGCACACTATATTGTCAAAGTCAAGATATACCCTAGTTATTTTCAGCCATCATACCAACGAATTATGACGATACAAACTATTCTAATAAGTGGCTTAATATGGTTTTCAGTTATCTTTTTTTTACTAAAAAAAAAAACAAATTTATTTATAGCTGTTGAAATTTAATAAAGTTGCGATTGCATTTATAATGCTCATTTTTTAATGTATAGGTGCTGTTTAATTACAGGACTTCCATTTAAATAACCCTATTTTGAATATCAGTTGTATTATCGAAAGTAATTCCACAAGATCTCAAAATTTTATAGATCAATTTCCATTTTTCAACAAAAACTTTATTTAGCGATGTCATAAGAGCAAACCGCATGATAAAACTTCGTTATTTCTGAGCAGTACCAAAGCTTGAGTTAAACTTTTCAATCGAGTCATATTCATAAAGATTATTTGCCGAAATATTCTCAGCTGAATGCATCGATGTAGGAACAAAATTCTCAAATTGAATCAATGTAATCACAAGAACGATTTTCGAAGGCACAATGTTCCAATATATGAACAGAGTACATAAATGACTAAACTCGTTATTTTTCAATCGTAGGATTTCATTGTTATGATCTATCGGACCTTGACTTGACCGCAGAGCCGGCGTCCGAGTCACCCGACCTACTTGATGCGGATAGATGCATTAACTGGTCGTCGCGTATTCTTTTCGATTCCAATGAAATTGTTACTATTCAGTTTAATGTTTCGATTCGAGTTAAAAATGTCATCTTACTATACCAATAAGTTTCAAGTAAAATATTGACATTTCTGAATGACGTATTTTTTTATTTTTTATTTGTTCATTTGTTGTGAAAAAAAAATATTCACACATTTTTTTAAATAGTTGAAAGTTAAATGAAAATAGCTACCATATGTTTTTTGGAATAAAAAAAATAAATGAGAAATATGATTTTTTTCAATACAAAGTAACACCTGTGAACTGGTCTATACGGTAGTTAATGTAATATGAAGAAGATTCATTGGTGATAGTCGTTTTGTGAATTACAATGATTGTCACCAGGGTTGTCACTAATACACTTTGTTCCACGGATACTTCTGGAAAAGCAACATATGAGATTTCAAAATTTTTTAAATTTCCAATTCTGCAAATTTTCATGTATAAACAAGGATGTTGAAATACGTGAACGTCTACACCTGAGACCCAAACAATAACATCGAATAAATGAACTGAAGATGACTGCCGCAGTTACAGTCGAAACGTTTGGAGATTGTAACCAAAGAAGACCACGGCAAAACCCGGAAACCAACCAAAACATTGACGCCAACCGTGAAAGCCTACAGTCCTCTATTATTCCAGAGACATATTTTCGTATTGCAGTTGCAATCCCCATTACTAGACGATTCAGTGACCAAAATAATTTTAGATTCAAAGATCATAGGTCAACTTTGTCAAATATTAGCCGGTTGGATCCCTCAACGTGTGAATACATTGTGATACTTTCATTTTGTACAAAACATTTTTGAATTTGGAGTTAGGTTAGGTCCACAGTGTGTGGGTCCATTCGACCCTCCACCGCAACGCGCAAGGGTTTATTGTGGCTCACACCTATTCACACTTGGCCAAATAAACCCAGCTTATTAACGAAGCCGATTAGTTTGTATGGTGAGTGGTCTTTCAGGTCAGATGGTAAGAGTACCTCTCTGTCGAACTCTTTAAACCTGATTCGGTTCCCAGCGGGGCAGGCACAAAGTGTGTGCTCTGTTGTTTCATCATTTTCCGAACAGAGGCGACACACACTGTCTTCCGACAGTCCGAGTCTCTGCATATGATGATTGAAATGACGGTGGCCTGTAAGAAGGCCTGTTAAACATCGTAGTTCATCCCTACTGTAGTCTAACGACTGTTTGGTAACAAGCTTCGAAGGGTGAATGAACGCTTTGGAGTGAGCCAATCCTGGAAGATTCTGCCAGAAGTCCATAAATCTTCTTGCCATACAGGTGTTCAATCTTTGTTTGGCAAAGCCTAAAGTGATGTCAATGACAGGTTCTGGCCCGATGAAGCTGCTTGCAGTAACCTCTTCTGCAAGGGAGTCAGCAGCCTCAGTGCCTTCCAGGCCAGTTTGCTCAGGAATCCAGACCAGTGACAAAGTCTTTCTATCGAGGAGAGTCGGATTTGGCAATTTGATACCAATTTAGACGTTGCTCGGTAGGAGCCAAGAGCTTCCAACGCCGCTTGACTGTATGAGAATATTTTTATTGACTTGTGTACGAGGTTGGAGTCTTCCAATCCCTCCGCACACAATTCAACAGCGTAAATTTCTACTTGAAATACAGTCGCATAGGTTCCTAGGCAGGAGATTTCTGGACTTGGTCACATGTGAATCTATGCGGAGATCCAAATGGGAAAAATGATAGATCAAGCTGTCCAATAGAGGTTCTTGATAAATGCTATTCATTCACCTTTGAAAACGTTGGTCACACTGCCTATCACTACCTGTACAATCTTTTTCGAGTTTTGAAAAATGGAAACAACACTTTAGAAACGCAGCTTGAGAAGCCAGATTGATTGATTTGGATTCAATGGTTATTCATAGACACATTGATGTTCTTGTGGAAGAATTCATTGACCAGTTCGCAGCCAAAAGAGCCAGTAAAATTGAATTTTTTTATTTAATATATTTGTATTAGAGAAAAGAATATATGTATTGACTACATGNTGAAGATCGATCGTTCAGACTAGGGCTTGAACCACCGACCAACACGGCAGTCAATTCGAGTGAGTGAACAAAGCACCCACGCCGAACCGCTTGGCTACCGACTGAACATACTTTTGTTTAAGTGAATTTTATTGAAGGTCATTATATTAGTTACAAGCTGATGACATGACAGGAAAAATATAGGAATATATGCTCTGCTACCAGTAAGAAGCTGGGTTGGAAATGAAAATTCGACCAAAATTAACGTAAAATTAATTTTCAATTTCGAGTTTGGTCTGATTAACTAGTTACCAGAAGTTTCAATAGCTCAACAGCTATTATGATGCCTTAAAAATTTCTTGGCATTTGCAATCGTAGGAATGTCCATACCTACTACAATCTTTCACAAGTTCATTGACCCTATTGGAGTGTTTCTAAAGATTGCTTATCACTACCGATAACTGAACTGCCGCAAGACATTATCAGTTACATTTAAACAGCTTTACGATTACATTTACATTGAGAAAATCCTTCTCAAAATCAAAGTTGAATAGACATATTTTCCAGTTATTTCAATTTCCAATCAATTACCTTAAGGAATTCTGTTTCCTTTCATTTATCGCCCTCATCAAGATGAATTCAAATATTTACATGAGCAGAATACTCGTACAGAACAGGTACCAAATGGCTCATTTCTCGTTGAAAATATGTAAATAAGTTGGTATCTTGTCCCTCGTGGGTCGATGTTGGCATACCTGTTCTCGATTGTTCATCGGTTCCAAAACTCTGATTGCAAGAATGAATTTTGGTGGAACTAGATAAGAATACATTTTTTGAAGGATGATTTTCAAAGTCAAGTAAAAACATGAAAAATAGAGATAAAGGTCCTAAAAATATGAGCGATAGCTCATTCGATTCGAAATCACCTTTANAGAAATACTTTACCAATGAGCACAACACACAACTTTCAGTCACCATCCAACTTTAAGGTTACGTCCCGACCGTGACAGTGTCGGTAAGGTAGAAACCGAATTTTGACCTAATCAATTATTGTTGGGTTTCATCGTCAGATGTCTTAATATGTATCTATATTTTGTAAATTTCTTATTTCAGTCGTATAAAGAGAAATGTGTCGTTTAGGACAGTGTCTGAATTTGGGTCTCCTACCTTATTGTTTGTAAAAAAAAGCTTTTTGGCATTCACTTCTTTATTTTTGTACAAAACATTGTGGAAAAGTTCCAGAAAAAGGAAAAATGAATTAAATTTAAAATGAACTATTTGCGAAAATGTGTAAATCAAGCGTAGAAATTGTGACATATCAATTCAAAACGTTGATTATAATAATTCCAAAACGTTGACTATAATAATTATTAGAGCAACACAATCTTCTAAGATTTTTCCACAGAATACCAAGGAAACCCGATATTAGTTTCCATGACACGTACCTAGTACATTCAACTTTCACTTTATATATTCAAAAACGTATATTATTCAAAAAATTGTTGTCTAAGAAAAATGAATTTTTGTTTAATTATGAAATATCGAAAAAAATTCTTATTAGTCAGTGGGCTATGCTTGAACACTGGCAGTAAACAAATCTAAACAAATGAACTTTAAACGTTCAAACCAGTCTCGGATATACCTACACAGTAGGTTGAATGGACTGACGCCTATCAGAAAACAACTACTCCCCTGGCTAATACCACGAAGGGCGTTGGATTATATCCGACAGGTGTCAGTGCAGGAATCTTCACAGAAAATTTCCTGCATATGCAATTGGCAATACAACTGAAAGTGTGCCCGTTCCAAAAATGAAGGTCGACTCTTTCAGTTGTATTGCCAATTGCTCATGCAGAAAATTTTCTGTGAAGATTCCTGCACTGACGCCTGTCAGATATAATCCAACGCCCTTTGTGGTCCATTTAACCTACTGTGTAGGTATATTCGAGACTGGCTTGAACGTTTAAAGTTCATTTCTTCAGATATATGTCGAACAATGTCCATGAAATCATTTTTGTAAATTTCTAAATCTCAGAATCATCATTTTATATCACCACCGGTTGAATGCCATGATTTGAACGTGTCCAACTATATTTTACTGCAGCTATAGCAGAGCATTGACAAACTCGTAAATTCCCAAGTGCTAAGCTCGCAGAACACGCTCCCGATACTTTGAATGACAAAGCGGTCGTCCCCCATTTACAAAATAGGAAGGGTCGTTTCTCCTTCCTGTAAACGAAAATTGCGTGATCTAAATACATGATTCAGGGTAGAAAGTACTTCATTTCAGCGAAATGAAGTGGCAGGAAGGGGAAAATTTGAATAAGATTCAGTGAACGATATGGTCTATATGGGGTAGGATTCAAGTGCATTCATATCTCGCGATAATTGCATTTGAACACTCCAAATAATATTGAAGAACTACCTGATTTTCTCAAAACAAAAAATTCTTATGTATTTGTCTGTTTAGTATTACTGCGACTATCTCCAATTTCTGCTTCATTGACTAATTCCCCTCTTGATTGTTTGCCTTCAACGTTATCGGTTCGTTTNCAATATTCTCGAATGGTCTACAGGGTTCACGCATTCGAGCTTTGCATAGGTATCTAACTGGCTTTTTTTGTAGGACAAACACTGATTGTAGTGATTGTTGCCTGCAAAATCCCCAAAAGACAATTCCATACCTCAAATGAATTTCAATCATAGAGTAGTGAACCATCTTCGCTGTAGATGTGCTCAATTCATTTGTGACAACTCTAAGTGCATAACATCCCGCCGATAATTTTTTTTGTCAATGCTCTAATATGCAGATCAAATTTCAGTTTGTCATCAATAAATATTCCTAGGAATTTTGTATTATTTTTGTTTTCTAATGTTTGTCCGTTTATAAGCTCAAATCTTCACGTTCGATTTGTAAGTAATTGGAATCACACCAATTTTTTACCATTTCAAGGTTACTAGTGATAGTATATTTCAATTGCTGGATATTTTTTTCATGCCAGAGGATGACAGTGTCATCTGCAAAAAATGTAAAATTGTAAAATTGAAGCCTGTTAAGTCATCAGGAGATCGGATACTGTCCTCTGCAAGGTTCGTGAGCTTATCTTTTAGGTCTGGTCATTTCTGTTCAAGGCAGCTAACCGAACAGCCGATAAATTTGGCTTGGTTGTCGACACTGAACGCGCTGATCACAATTCTGTCACTGAGTTCAAATCCGTTCATCGAAAAAGTCTCTTCAAAGCCGCAGTAATGATGTATTCTTCAATAGAATTGAAGATCTCGACTTATCAAAGCCACTTATTTTTGTTGAAATACGAACAACCTCATTTTAAACCCCATTATTTACAACTCTATAATTATTTTCTGAAAATAAAATTATTGGAATGTTACCCTTCCAAAAAATTCACTTTGAAGTCATCCATATATCAGTATTCACATGTTCAGCTCAAATTTTCATCAGTTCTGTATTATGCATATTATAAAGAAGCTGTATCTGGGCGTCTCTTTACAATTTCTGTATAATCGTCATAGGTAGTAGTTTTAACTTCTACAATTATCTCTTTACAAACACCACTAGTTTCGTGGTCGGTTTTCTTAGATATGTGATCAAAAATATGCAGGGTTCCAACGCAAGCATATTCTTCAAAGAAAACCGCTTTCATAATGTAAATCTTTACATTAGATTAGTATTAACTGAAGATGACCCAATCACGATAAAGTTGACACACAATTTAAAAGCAAGCACTAAGTCTCATTTTAATTCCAGAAACTACAAACAATATTTACCTCTGAACCATAAATGACAGTAACATTTCTCAATAAAAGTAAACTTCGAGTAAAATAGAGGGTGTAAACTTTGCTTCCCTTACAGGAATGAATATGAGAAGCATGAAAGATGAGATGCCTTCAAGATGAATATTAGAGAAATATTGCTAACAGATTTTGAAACACATGAGATAAAATGAAATATTGAAATGTTTCTCATAAATTTCAAATCTGTTATCACTTTTCTAACAGTCTTCTAGATAGACTGTTACGAAACTTGTTATTATAACGGAATATATTTCGGAAGCACTGAATAATACTAGACAAAATGATATTATTCACACCGACTTCTTGATCGCTGTACTCAATTTGAATTGTCTAATGATGCTAAACTACTCATTAACTCCTACTTATCTTTAAGGAAACAGTGTGTTTCTTATAATGGTTATATGTCTGAAACTCACTAAGATACATCCGGTATTCCTCAGGGCTCAAGCTTGGGTACTCTCCTATTTCAATAGTGAATGTTTATGCTTCGCTAATGACTTGGAATCACATAAACTACAACATGCTTCGCTATCACAGGAGCTGCGAAAAAGCTACTGTGATAGCGAAACATGTCGTGATATATTTTTTGAAAATAAATTTGTGAAGATTAAATCGTAAGGTGTCGTTCATGACATTACTGTGGATCTTCATCAAGTAACGAACCAACCAGAGACTTGGAATTATAATGCAAGAATAGATAACATGCGCGGAACTGTACGAAACTTCAGTTACAATTGGGCTTACTGCAAAACAAAATGAATTCAAATATCAAAAAATAGAAAGTAACGGGCCTCTGCCGGGAAAAATATATAAATTCTGATTGAAGTGTTGTTATTCGTCAGAAAACTGAGCTTTGTAGTACGTGCTTCACTGAAAGTATCTGAGGTTCTCAGGTTTACCGGATTTATACTGTCTGTCTGTCTGTCTGTAGAGTAGGGAGGGTGACTGTAGGCCCACAGCACTTAGGCCACATGTTACCCATTGTACATCCTCCCGAAGAGTTGTCCTCCTAGGTCATTGTTGTCCATCCTGTCCTTTGCAGGAAGGTGGACAGGTCACTAGGAGACATCTCCTTTATATCAGCAGGTGTAGGCCAAGACTCGCCGAACACACACTTTTTATATACGATAACTCCGGACAGTCGCATAAAACATGCCTGACAGTTTCATCTTTCTGTTCACACATCCTGCATGGAGGTGTGTTCACTAGCCATATAATATGGAGGTGTTTCCTTAGTTGACAGTGGCCAGTCAAAAATCATACTGTTAAGCGTACGTTTTTCCTGGTCATCGCCAGATATTTCTTCGGTGCCAGCTTTCCAGGGTCGCCCAGAGTGATCTTGGCAAGACAGCATCCTATGATTCTATCCCATCTATTTAGGGATTGAGCATGGGTGTGACGTTTGGCTAGTTCCGCAATTGCCGAAGTAGGTGTCACTGGGTCCTAAAACTCTTGGGCCAGCCGCTTTCTTGAGTAAAGAGTCGGCAAAGCGATTACCATTACTCCTGTCGTGCCCTTTAACCCACTTCAGGATAATGTTATTATCTACGGAGGCTTTGGCTAAATCTTGGTGGCACTCTAGTACTAGCCCTGAGGTAACACGTTGTCTGTTCAAGGCTAATAGGGTTTGTCTACTATCAGTGCAGATTGTTATGTTTTTGCCAGAAATTCCTTTCCTGGTTATTTCTTTTTGTGGCGATTTAGATACCAGCCAGTTATGTTTGAACCACGCTGGTATTTTTCCCATTCACCACTTAATCCCTAGGCTTAGTGATCTGGAGTACACTCCACATTCCGAGTCTTCTTTGGTGACCCATTCCTACTTCTAGGTTTACACTAGACGTGCGCAATCGTAACATGGCCATTAACGCCTCCTCCTTAACGTACAGGTCCAGAGGGATCAGGTCACTGGATTTATACTTAGAAATTGTAAAAAAATTCAATCCTGCAATGCCCAAGTTCAGGTGAAAAACACCTTACCCCTTGCCTCTCATGTGGACCTACGACTTTGTAGGTACGTGTGGCAGATAACCGACGGAAAAACAACAACAACCCAGCTAATGCTGCGCCGAAAGCTGAAGTAAAACTATCAAGCACCTGTGCAACGTCTTGCATTTAGAAAATTCATCACAAGTAACTTCCTTTATATGAAAAGCAGAAATTAATTTCATTTGGTCAGGACGACCACCGATAGACCGTTTTTTCCAGGGTGATTGCCCCTCGTCAGTACCGGGCAGGCCATTTCTGATGGAGTGAACCGTTTGAGTATCCCGAACAAACAAAATTAATTCCAACTAGTCATGAGTTCCATGTGCAGTTAATTCTGTAGGATGTCCACTGCGCCACCTGCAGACAAAGTTCGGAAACAACTCCACAAACATATACTCCGGGGTGGGAGTCCGAAGAGTTGCATATGACATGCCTAAGTTCAGGTGAAAAACACCTCATCCCTTGCCTCTCATGTGGACCTACGACTTCATAGGTATTAGCTGGGTTAGTTGTTCAAGAGGAAGGTTAAGTTTGTCTTCCTCTTGAAGATGATCACTTGGTGATCGAAACACGTGTCGAGGTGTTAAAATAACGATTTGGTGTTGGGATAAAAGTTCAGTAATATTCATTACTTCACCAAAGGTACCAAACAGTGCATCACAAGTAGATATTGATGAATCAAGATCATCTAGTACGGGTGTATGTCAGAGGTTAAAGTTCTACCTGTTGATAGGACTCAAATTTTTTTTCAGGTCTGAGGGCAGAACTCTTCTATGTCAGAAATGGGATCATCAATAACTATGCCCTTCATTTTGTAGTCTTGATTCCGTCCAAAATTGACTCTCTCCACTTCACATGGGAAAGTTTAGTACCTGGACAGCCGGTGAGTAAAAGTATTATTGAAACTTGATAGTAACATTTTCATTAATTTTTTTGATCAAATTTCCTATTTTTTATTTTTCATTGAATTTCTTATGTGACTTTACTGTAATGGAATTTTTTGAGAAAACTGAAATGATTTCATTACACATAATTAAAATGAAAGCATATTCTGATAAGTGATATTATTTCATTGGAGAAATTAAAAGACGAAGTTCAGCGAGCAATGCTTGAAGCGGTCTATTAAGTGGTTTATTGAATATGCGGCAAAAATTTGAGGGACTATTCTTCGACAATAACAATTTATTACCAAAAATTACATGTAATGTTTCTTAATCTACAAGAACTGTTGAAAATAACTACTCCCCGGATGCAAGAATCCAATCTTCTCCTCATCAACTCCCGAACTCTTTCAAAAACACCAGGAGCATTTATGAGACATACTATTCAAATTGAATGTCTGCAGCCGTTTGTAGTAATCGGAATGTTGTTGATAGGTACCAACGGAATTGTTAGATTTTTTATTACTTGGTAGGTCTATAGGTATAGTACGCTATACTTTTATTTCGGCTACCTTAATTTAAAATTAGCAAAATTATTATTGTCGAAATTCTTTTTTGCTCCGTATCTTCGAAACAAAGCGCCCTATCAAAACTCATCGAAGGACAAAATATCCTTAGAATAGGCTCTTAATTTTTTGCCGCATGTTTAATAAACACCCTGTATATAGCAGCAAATAAAACCATAACATGCTATATAGTTCAAGGGCATGCAGTTTGAGTAAAAATGTTATTTCTGAAGTACCTATTCAATCTATTGACGATAGATGAGATCGCGAAGATAAAACTTTTGAAATAAGTGAAACTGGAGAGTACTTGAGAAAAGTATTTGAAATACAAATACAAGCCCTTTTCACTTATATTTGTACTTATACTCAAGTATTTTTTCAGATAGAGGATTTAAAGTTGTAAATGAACGTGTAAATGAAAAGAACAAAAGATTTCTAGTGTAAGTACTTTAAAAAATTGTCAGGGTAAAGTTTTTTCTTAAGTACAAATACTCTGTTTAAGTAAATGTTTTCCATAAGTACAAATCATTTGTAACGAACCATATGGTCCTCCAAAGAGAAGTTTTTTAGGGATAACAGGGCATAGGCTGAAAAAAGACCAGTAGATAATCATATCCATATCCAGTCAAGGATTTGAGTGAAGTCACACGATCATGACAGATACTCTTCGAAAGAGTATCTGCTATGCGCCATTAAAATTATTGGGGGGAAATGACTAAAAACGGAATTAAAAAAAACAAGTTATGGTGATTCGCTCTACTCATTAAAAAAACGAGCCAGTTAAGAATATTGTTCTCTCAAAACGTAAACTTTGTGCTAATCAAAATCTGAATTTTGTCGTTGTATCAGATTGCAAGAAGGCAATCAAAAGAAACGAAATTTTTCGAGAATGAAATATAGACTATTTTCATAAACAAAATTTAAAAAAGTAGAAGACCGAAGTCCGTTAAGAATATTATTAAATGTTGCGAAGCAACTGGAGCTACTAGATTTATTTATTTATATCACGACGATATAAATCTGAAAAAGAGCTTTACCAGGTAGGTACATGAATCCATTTTTTTCCTGATGTGGATTTGAGTGTTCTATATAAGAATATTGCTTGGTGACGAATCCATTAGGTGTAACCTTAGATGTTCTTCAGAGAGAAGATAATATTCAATGGAAATATTTTCCTTTCTGTAATAATCCATGGCCGTACAACTTCTATGATTTGTTCAGGACCTATCTGTAAAATAACAAGAGGAATGACTATATTTTCACAACGTTAATGTCATTTGGTTTGGGTACAAACCATAACAAATTGAAAAGTTTGGTCATCACCTCCAAACCACCCACAATAGAGGGCATTACTTCACTCGTAAATACCATTGATTTTTTTACAAATCAATGTTCGTATAGGAAAATATGAATAATCCATACAAAAGTTAGAAATGAAAGTCAAATATTCGTAAAAATTTAATTATTCGTTTTCAGGTGTCTTATTCGATGATGTTAGAGACTTCAAATTCTGCAGCTCTTCCGCCTCCAAAACTCAACATCTCAAAAACGGGCTTGATACCAAATACACTTCAGACATTTGCAGTATCGTTACCTTGTTCAGGCACTGTAGAAGGTGAAGTGGACATAACTCTCATAATCAACATCACCCTGTCACATGAAAATGTAACAACACTAACATTTCGAAGAAAGAAAATTTGTCTTCAATTCGAAAAGTCTACTACATACATCTCCATGGATTCCATGCCTCAATTCTCCAACTCTGTCAACATTTTCTACATAGCAGTCTGCTGTGCGCTAGTACTCATCTTGATTCTTGCATTTGTTGTTACACTGTACTACATAAAGGATAAAAAAACTCGAAGAACCATTGAAAATGGTAGCGGGCCAACGACGACAACAACAACAACGTTCCTTGCTGCTTTACCCAGGAACAGTGTGAATGCCTCTTCTTATGGGAGTTTCAGAAGAATGCCAAGTTATTCTTTGATAGACGAAAGATCTAAAGATTTACAAGATAGGATCGCTGAACTCACAGTACAAAGGTATTTTTCAAAATGTCTGAATGAATATTTTTTGAAGAAAACCCTTCATTAGGAAACACTTTTATTTTATTGTTATCAAATTTGGTGGAGGTGGGAAATCAGTTCATTTATTTTGTTTGAATTAATTCTTGACAAATTATGTAGACTCCGCAAATAGCATAGGAATTTTTTTGCTAAAGTAGAAATCTAATTATATTAACACATTTCTGGCAACCTTTTCAACGTAAACCAACAAGGTAAACATTCTACTTATAAACATACTGTAGAATCCTTATGGGAAATATTTTTCAGTGGCATTGGCTGAAACTTTGTTGGTGGTTCTCATTATAATGCTGACCAACTTGAAAATAAACAGTTTTTGAAATAATGACCGTAAAGTATTCTTCTATTGAAATGGTTTTAATCATTTCTGTCATTTAGAAGTCCACTTCTAATGTCGACACAATAACGGTGTCAATTCAGTGTTGATCGCTATGGAAATGATATCATTCATAGGAACGCTACTCTATTCAGGATACAGCGCGATGATCGTCGGTCAGTTGTATTTTGGGAAATAATAAGATTCATATCCAGAAAATTGGCAAATGTAGGTTTTCTAATATACTTCATCGAATGAAAATAATGACGTTTTTCCAACACAACAGTAAATTGGTATCAACTTCCTTAATTGAAATGTAACACCCTGTGTATTTTCACATTTTTGAATACCTGGGATGATTATGGTGTGAGTTTATGCAATACACCCTATACTAAAAATGAACCGTTCTCGAAATATTCATCTGTATATTGAACGAAACTAGGTATTTGACTCTCGAGTGATTCCCCCATAAAATTCAAAAGTTTGATAGAATAAATAAATGAGCTATTACTGATTCATCAAAATACTTCATTTCATCGTATTGTAGAAGTAACATTCCAAAACTGTTATACAAGGTGTTCGGAATCGATGACTAATTCTGAAGATATGAAAATGGGCCAAAACTCAGTTTTTTCAAATAGAACACCATGTATTTGAAATTTATATATGAAACATTTTCTATATCACAAATCAACCGTTCACAAGATATTTAATTTTTTTTTTAAATCAAACGGGCATGTCCACTATAAAACTATGAACTATGACACTTTCATTTCGAACAGTTACAGAAACTTTATTAGAGCTATTAATTTGTTGTCATGATTTTTATCGAAGGCGGGATTTCTGACGGATAAATAATGAATTATAAAAAGTTTATTCTAAATGTTTCATATGAGAGCGAAAATTCAAGAATTGTCTTTTCGCACAAAATATAAAAACTATTTCATACAAAGACTTTTCCGTTAACTTTCAGGCACGTATTAACTTTCTTCATCAGTTACTTACAGCACGACTGATTTCATCAGCTCTGTTTGAATTTCATAACAATTTTTTGAAGTACAAACTAAATAGGAAATAGTAGCTGTGTCGAAAGCACTTTTTCTTTTTTGTGTTCATGTAAAAGTAGATGTTTCGATAGGAATTTTCCCTCCAATTTGTATCTGAGTGGAACTGTTTAAAAAATCTGTTTAAAATCTGTTTTTCCGTTAACCAGCTGTCGCACCCCTACGAACGACAACCCTCAGAAGTCGAAACTTGTGCGAGCTAAGGATTAACGAGGTCTTACCTTTTAAGTGTGATTTCTAACACGCACAATCTACTCACTTTTGCGAAGAGTTTATTTCACAGTTGATTTCACTCATTCTTTGTTCAGAAGTTTCCCACATTTTTTGTCTAAAAGTGGAAAAGGAGAAAGCCATAAAATTGTTTTTCAAAAAACTAATCTTTCTTAAAAAAATTATTCCTTTTCATTATACTGTCACAGTATTGTTTGACTGGAAAAAATATCATATGTATTTATTTCTCATATTGTTTAGATTCTATTTATTTGGAAAAAAATGTATAGGTTCTTTTTGATGAATTTCTGCATCATAAAACTGGCATACTATTAAAATTTGAAATATTTACAGGTGTAGAGTTCGTCTAAGTAGCATTATCCTTGAAGGAACTTTCGGAAAAATTTACCAGGGATCCTACACAAATGAAGACGGTACAGAAGAAACAGTTATAGTGAAAACAGTCACAGATCATGCAAGTCAAGTACAAATATCTCTTCTACTACAAGAAGGAATGGCTATGTACTCTCTGAACCACAAAAATATTCTGACCATTCTTCGAGTATCTATTGAAGACCACACTGCCCCGTTTCTGCTCTACCCATACAAAAACTATAAGAACCTGAAGCTGTTCTTGCAAAAATGTAAAGTTTCTTCGGAAGGCGTTCACCATACTTTAACTACCCAAGAAGTTGTTGACATGGCACTGCAAATAATTCAAGCTATGCAGTATCTGCATAAGAAACATTTACTTCATAAAGATTTAGCTGCCAGAAATTGTGTGTAAGTAAAATTACAAACTAATTTCAATATTACGAAAACATTGACAAAATATTGTAAACATTATATTAGCCAGAAAAAATGCGAATATTTAGCAATATTGAATGATATTTCCTGGTTATTCAAAAACAATGTAAAAATATTTCGTTATGAAAACATAAGCATAATGTAAATAATATTGGACTGATATTTCCTGGTAAAATTGGTTCTTTATTCGAAACTAATATATGTTATATGTTATGGAAACATATGGAACAACATTGTGAAAAATATATTAGGCAGAAAAAATGGTGAACACTAAGCAATGTTGGTATAACATTATTTGACAATATTGGTTTAACAATAGGAACAATATATCGGCTAGAAAAAAATGTACACATGTAGCAATATTGAAATAACATTTGGCAATAATAGTTTGCGGCTGAAACCTTCATTTCATATTGCAAGGAGCCCAAAATTTTCAGAATTGAAATGTATAATAACTTTTTTGAAAAGAAGCACACGTTTTTTCAATTACTTTGGCAAAAATTCAATCATCTGAACATGACTTTTTCATCTGTTCTTGTCCTTGCAGAACATTTTGAAAGCAAAATAACGCGTTTTTTTGGGGGTTATGTTTGATTCTACAAAAGATAATTGTGTTTAAAGCAAGTAATCACACAAAAACCAGATTATTTGTTATTTTTTATAGCTATGAAAGAGCTTCAAAGCTATTATTTTCTGATATGAGTAACACCAAAAGTTCAAACTAGATTCCCGATAAAAAATGTGTTCAATATTTTTCATAATGAAGATTCCGCAGTAGATAATTTAAATGTTCAAGTACTAAGAGCTTAAAATCTTAGACATACAAATACTGCTGAAACATAAGAATCATTAGGAATCACTAGAACAGACAACCAGACCAAAAGATTAAATACTAGAATATAATAATCCTACATAGAAATTGCAAAAAATGTCTGTGCTCTATCCTTTCCGTTGCCTGCTGTATTTAACTTTAGTCTTATAATCTGAAGTGATATTTTCTTCTTCAAACAATTGAATTATTTGCATACCTAGAACAAATAATGTTCAGATAATTTATCTCATATTCAAAAAGATTAAAAAAATATACCTACCCAACTCGGTAATGAAAAATTATTATTTTGAATATGCCAATAACTAGTGAAGATCAGCAATCGATAACAAGAAACATTTTGTACCTATAGATAAATGTATCCTATTTCTGAAATTGAATAATGATGTCGTGGTATATACTGATTGATAGAGAGTTTTGTACTGTATACATTGATGCTGTTTACTTTTCTAAATTTTAATTTTTTGCCGCTATTCAGCTTATTATATGATGTCGTTAGGCAATTTTCGGCCAATTTTTCTTTACGAATTCAAAATGAACGAAAGTGCTGCTAAAGCATCCTTAAAAATTAACCTGGCATTTGGCAATGATAGTGTTATTAAACATACTGTTTGACGTTGGTTTGCGAAATTTTGTTTTGGAGACCCGAAGTTGAGCCCGAAGTGGTAGAACTACAGTAATCCAGGACGAGGATTTGAGGACCCTGGTGGAGACTGACCCATCACAAACAGTGTGTCTTGAAAAAAATATCCAAATGCTTTCAATAAAAAATTCAACTCCAAGATTTGAACTGCTGAACCAGAAACCTTTGTTGAAGATACACTACCGTATGGCCAGAAGGTCCAATAACTAATGGATGGTAACCATATAATCCACACAATTTGTTTGTGCTCATTTGTTATTGAAAACTCTGCTCCCCGGAAATTGTTGACTAAAACAAGTTTGATGTTCAAATCATTTTTAGCAAGCTATATTGAAATTTTCACAAACAATTATCAACAATCTGAGAGCAAGTTTAGTCCCTACTTCCATAAAATTTTTACCGTGGCCATAATTACAAAAAAAAAATTGCAAGACAATTTGGTTCATTAATTGATTTATTATTTTTTAGGGTGGATGATAAACTGAATGTCTTAGTTGCTGACAATGCCTTATCAAGAGACCTATTCCCATCTGACTATCATTGCCTTGGAGATAATGAAAACAGACCTGTCAAATGGTTGGCAATTGAGAGTCTCTTACATAAGAGTTTTTCTCCCAGTTCGGATGTTTGGTCTTTTGGTGTACTACTCTGGGAATTGACTACCCTTGCTCAACAACCCTACATTGAAATCGATCCTTTTGAAATGGCAGCTTATTTAAAAGATGGTTACCGACTGGCTCAGCCCATCAATTGTCCAGATGAACTGTAAGTAAATCAATAATTGGATTTATTAGACTATTAGATTTGCTACTATCGAATTATTCAGATGCTTATTCAAAATTTCAAGTATCAGTGATGAGCAACAATTCCATCATTGCTCAAACAGTGGAGAAACAAATTTTAAAGTTATGTAGGTATGTAATTGCTTTAAACTTGAACGGCTCAAAAAAGTGTGTGAAACAAAGAATTCATAATGACAACTTAACATTTGTTAATTGATCGATAATACTCCATAATGGACTAATGGAGTTACTTATTTTAGACCAATCACTATATATTGCTAGATATATAAATTTTTTTGAGAATACAGCTCACAATCAGAGCAAGGAGTACATGGAAAACAACAATATGTTCAAGGAAAATCGGACAGGTTTTCTCAAGAAACCTTATTGCAAAGCAATATTACAACTTACCCTGACGAAGTGAAATGAACTGATAAAAATATTTCTGATGACTTTGTTGATATAAAAACAGTTTTTGAGTCTGTAGATAGAAAAGGTTTTAGAGATAAAGCGGAAATATTATGGCTTTGGATCTAATTTTGAGTGAACACATCAATTTGTTAAAATTGATAATACCTCATTTATTACGTCTGAGGTTGAAGTTGGTGTACCTCAAGGCAGTGTTATTGGCCCTCTTCTCTTCATAATGTACTATAATGACCTCATTAAAATATTATTGGTTTGTATGAAAATGATACATCACATGCAGTTAGTTCCAAGTCTGCCTCTCTCTCTCTCTCTTCCTCTTTTGATAGTATATTCAAGAAGCTCAAGAATTATAACCGAATTAATGAACTTGAACTGAGTGTAAATAAAATAAAAGCCATGTTTGTAGCAAAACATTACATATCAACGGAACTGAATATGCTAGTTAATAACATGAATTTGGTATTTGAAAATTAAGAAAAAAATTGAAATGATTGAAGTTAGCAATAGCTTTATAATATTTACTGTTCTTGGATATGAAGCCAAATACCAGTAGATACAAATTCAGATAAATGCTTGTGACATCATGGTTTTTTGGTACTTACATTGTTATTGTACAAACTATGATATATTGGTGAATATAACTATAGAACTATATTGGACATTCTTAACTTGAATACTGTGGCTCATAGAAGATTAGATTCAGATCTTACACTAATTCACAAAATAATCAATGGTTGCATTAATTCCCCGGAACTTGTTGATCTTATAACTTTAAATGTGAATCCAAGAGAACAAGAAATACAGAAATCTGCAAAGTACCCTTTCATCATACTAACTATGGCCAGAATGAGTCTATAGGTAGAATTTTGAGACTTGCAAACACTCACAATGTGTATTATTTTTTGGAATCACTTAAAAAGATTGTAAACGATTGGCTTATTTTTGCTTTTGGTTTTTCTTTTTTAAAGAACAGATTTTAAACAGAATGTAGATGTAATGCTATTGTCTCAATAATGAATATGAAAATAAAAAAAAATTCATCATCATATCCTTAAATGACAAATGTTCATTTTCAATTCCATAAGTTTACAAAATGGTTTTTCAGTGAAATAACTTGAGAAATTTAATTAATTTTCCATGTTGACCTCTAATTTACTTAATTTTTTCTGAAATGTCTCTTGCATTGAGATGGGCATTGAACTTGGAACAGCATTCATAAAAATAATGTCTAAGGTGATGAATAAAAGTTGAGTGGATTCAGAAGAAGTTGAAATAGTCATAAAATCCTAATATGAGAGGAAAGAAAATGAAATCACCAACAAGAGACCTTACAAAGTAACAATAGAATATCCAGAAATAAATAAGCAAACTAGTTGTAAAATTAATGTAGCAATGACTGCTGTCAATCTGAAGTTCACTTCATTTCTGCAAAATTGATTATATCTGTAATGAACCAATACTTAATCAAAAATCTTTACACTGACATTTCCTTTCAGATTTGCAGTGATGGCTTACTGTTGGGCAATGAGTGCAGAAGAAAGACCTACTTTCACACAGTTGCACGTTTGCTTGCAAGAATTTTATGCACAATTGACTAGATATGTGTGACAAAAAGACTAAGCATTAAAATTGATGTTCCTTGGACAGTGGCAGTATGTATAATTAGTAGATAAAATGAATAACAATCATATTCGTAAAATCTCAGGTAACGGAAGGCCTGTGATCCTTACATGATAAGATGAAGGGACAAAGCATGCCCTAAAATGAAATTTGGAAATTGAATCTAATTGAATTTTATGTATACGATTTTCAACATGGCATGTTGCCACTGTCTTAGTTTAGGGTGCCAAATTTTGTGTTGAAGGATGTATTTTTATAAGAAGACTATTAAAACCAAAAAACTGTATTGTTGGACTTTTCACTAGTTATCTCAAATATTCAATTCATATTTATTTTCACGTTGACGTGTAATTGTCAACAGAATGACAAAAAAGAATTCATTTTTAAAAACAGCAGGATAATAAAAGCTCAAAGTGTAGGTATGCCTCATAAGGATGCCTAACATAAATTCACTTCATTGCTACTTATTTTCTATTCAAAATAGGTATTTTATTAATTTTATTGGTCTGCCTACTGTTACTCTGCAAATGTTCTGACACAAGTGTGCGTTTGGAAAATGGTTGAAATCATTAAATAGGTTTGTGTCAAATTATATATATATATGAGCTGTTTTTCCGGGTGCTACGTGTTCTGTATCGAATGTTTCTACAGCAAAACGGTCCACCTTTTTCTCTCTTCAAATTGCTCTTGAATATAAACACCTAGTGATTGATCTATCAAGAACTAAACGGACAACACATATATATCCGATGGATATCAATAGAACGTGCCATTTGTGCCCAAAGAAAATCTTACGGATGTACAGAGGGTACTAACCTGGACATCCAGAAGTACATTTTTTGGATATCATATGAATCTCCATAGAATATCCACTGAAAGACATTCATTCCAAGTTCAAGGAATATCTTATGTATATCCATTTCCAATGATATTCCGACCTAAATTTGACATGAAGCAGATAATCGGTGGTGTCTGGGGAAATATTAATGGAAAAAAAATTGTCATCAGTGTTCTTGTATATACTAATTTACTTATTTTTCAATTGACAGCCATTACCTACAGCTCAAATTGAAATTTGAAAGTAGAGTATTAGCTTGAACTCCATAAGTATTGACCAAGTTTTCACTAGTTTCGGTTAGGCCTAAACTTTCTTAGAAATAGGAACAAAACAGATTTTTATTATTGTCTGAGAGTGAGACAAGATTAGTGAATCAACAAATGAAGAATAAAGTTATTATCAGGAACTCATTTGCTTTTCTTTGTGATGAAGAAATGAATAAAATCATCATGTTTTCCTGAGCTTTCCTCTGAAGAAATCTTTATTTTAGAAAAATTAAAAAGTGCCATTCCGGGCTGTGAAACTGAAGATGGAGCAGATTTCTTATTCACCTCCGAATCTGTGGGAGAGGGACATCCAGACAAAATGTGCGACCAAATCAGTGATGCTATCCTGGACGCACACTTGGAGCAAGATCCCTATGCAAAAGTAGCCTGCGAAACAGTAACGAAAACCGGGATGATTCTAGTTTGCGGAGAAATTTCCTCCAAAGCAGTCGTGGACTATCAAAAAGTCATCAGAGAAACAATCAAACACATTGGATATGATGATTCGTCCAAAGGATTTGATTACAAGACCTGCAATGTTTTATTGGCATTGGACCAGCAGTCTTCCAATATTGCGGCAGGCGTTCACATTAACAAACCTGAAGAAGAGGTCGGAGCAGGCGACCAGGGATTGATGTTTGGATATGCTACAGACGAAACTGAAGAATGCATGCCATTGACAGTAATCCTAGCGCACAAGTTGAACTACGAGCTAGCTGAATTGAGAAGATCTGGTGAATTCTGGTGGGCTGGGCCAGATTCCAAGACGCAGGTCACAGCTGAATACACTTTGGAACGCGGTGCCTGCATTCCCAAAAGAATTCACACTGTGGTTGTTTCTGTGCAGCACAGCGAGAAAATCACTCTGGAGGAATTAAGAACGGCTGTCACTGAAAAAGTCATCAAAGAAGTAATTTCCAGCAAATATCTAGATGATCAGACTATCATCCATATTAATCCATGCGGCAATTTCATCATTGGAGGACCACAAAGTGACGCTGGTCTCACTGGCAGAAAAATCATCGTTGACACATATGGTGGATGGGGGGCACACGGAGGCGGCGCCTTTTCTGGAAAAGACTTTACCAAAGTCGACAGATCAGCAGCTTATGCAGCTAGATGGGTGGCCAAGTCTTTGGTCATGGCTGGCATTTGCAAGAGATGCTTGGTGCAAGTTTCATATGCTATTGGGGTGGCCGAACCTCTATCTGTTTCAGTATTTGATTATGGGACATCGCAGAAGACCCAGAGAGAGCTGCTTCAGATCGTCATGAATAATTTTGATCTGAGACCTGGAAAAATTGTCAACGATTTGGATCTGAGACGACCCATTTACCAGGAGACCAGCACTTATGGCCACTTTGGGCGTGATACCTTTTCCTGGGAGCAGCCAAAAGTCCTCAACCTGAATTGAAAATCAGTGTCCTCAGTGCCCTTATAATATGTTTTATCGTTTCATTTTATCATATTTTGCATTAGAAGAGCTCTTAGCAACTGGTTATTGACAACTTTTTTGTAATTTTCAATGTTCGATTAGGTGATTCTTCCATGATTTGAAAAAATATACAACTTGTAATGGAAATCACATTGAATTTAAGCAGTAATTTGTTAGGGTGAACTAAAAAGTTTCCCCTTTAACAGATAAAAGCATATTAGAAAAAAATCTATAATTCATAAACAGAATCAAATGCCCTTTGAAGTACTTCAATGATAAGTATAAATAACTCACCACAAACATTATCCAGTTATTTGAGAGAAGAGATCTCTTAAAGTTTAATTAAAATACAAACGCTCATTTTTGAATCTACGAAATTCCTTCGTCAGTAATTCAGGAGATTTGATTTCATACATCATTTAATATTTAAAAAACACTGTGAAAAATTCAAAACGTTTTCTTTCATGGCTAGTTTCACTACATTGGAAACTTGAAAATACTTCATTACACTATCACTGAATCGACATGAATTCAATAAATTGTATTGTTTTTAATTGCTTTATTTAAAAATTGCCATTCTTTCAAATAATATAAAGTTTTTGGAATTGTTTACTGGATACTTTTGATATAATTCTTAATATTTAGTTCATCTGTGGTTCCGATAGTTGTCTAAGAAAGGCTGGAATGTGAAACACCAAAGTACTACTTCTCCATCGTCAACTTTTCTATCAGAAACTATACACGGTCTGCCAATCATTAATTTATTTTGAAGACAGCCACTCTCAAAAATTGTTGTTAGTAGCGGTTAGCAAGTGGTTACTTTTGGAACATACTTTTAGATAGGTCGTCAGTGGTCACATTGGCAGCACTGTTCAAACGTTCAAGGTTATGTCATTTTCAAATTTATAAATACCCGCCTACCGGCTAATATCTATTCATTCTCAGTCTGATATTGAGAAATAGTTGTCAAAATTAAAAAGGGAATCTCAAACCTTTCAGTTAGATTTACATTATCAGATGAGACTTCAGTCATATATTTCTCTACAGAATAAAACACTTTTTAGAAATCAAAATATATTTCCATCATTTTTGAAATTATCAAAATTCAATATTTTGACCTGGAGTGAGAGTATAAAATATTATTTTGATTATTGCAGTCTGAAGTAATGATGCCACAGTGACTAATTGCCTCTCATTCTATTGTTATAATGGAGATAACAGAAGCATTATGTTTGGAGTTATTTCTATATCTGACAGGAATGATGATTTCGTAAATGTGAATGACTACCTTCATGCAAGTTGAATGTTATGATTACCCACTAACTTGCGTTTGTTACAATGGTCTGTGCGTGTATCCCATAAATGATATTTTTGTAATTTCTTACTACAATCACATTGACATATTTATCTTCAATAAATAAACACCACACATTTCAATTAATCACTATTTTATTTATTTCTGAATATCAAAAACACTGAGTGCACTGTCAAACTTGATTGGTTTACAACTATCTTCAATCCAAAATATAATAAATGTGTAGAGTTTTGCTTTAGTTAAAAGAGACATAAACTTAATAAACCATATTAGTGAGGTTAGGACATTTTTTCGCGGCATTCACTTTCAAATTATTTTAAAATTGTTTTCTATTAAGTTTTCACAATGCTGCCAATATTTGTTTTGAGTACAAACACAATTTGGTTGGGAAACGTTCCAAAATTTAACACTGCCTAACCGAAACTTTTGACAGCGGTTGCCTGAAAAAAATAATTATATTTTTCAACACATTTGAAATTAATTGTCACTTAGTAAAAAAGGTGATTATTTTGGTAACACACTAACTTGAATCGTCGAGAGATAATGTATTTCCGCCAATATTCATCCGATTGGTTTTCAAAATAATGTCAGATTTTTATGGGATCCAAAAATGAAAAATCGAATTTGCTTTTCGGAATGAACTATGTTTTTTGGATCATTTCAGATCTTACTATCGAAGAAAATACACATTTCTGATTTTAATAATATCATTATTATTACCAACTGATATAGAATAGTGGAAGTTTCCCAGTTCCGAAACGAAAAATCAATATTGATAACATGGTGGATAAATCTCCCATATTGACCATATTCCATAGGGTATGGAGTACCCATAGATATTATAATATATAGATAATGTATGATACCTATAGGTATATAATATATATGGGGGTGTCTTATAGTTGCTTACTTTTTAATACTGTTCAAAAATGTGATTCATTAGAAAGTAAGCAAAACGTGTTATGTTTCAGATCTAACTTCCCAAAAAGGGATTGTGCTGGTTATATATGAATTTTTTGAGTGATGGATTATGTGCAACTGAAAATTAAATAAATATATGCGAGTTTGTGTGCTCAGGAATTTATCTAAATCGTATTTTTATTATTTGATGGATTATTTAGACAGATGACAAAATATGTTATTAGTTCCACAGGTGTTACATGTGAAACAATTGAGATTTAAGTGGAATGCCTTGGTTTGGTTAGCAAAAAAAAATGTGACAGCAGAGAAAATACATAAACACATATTTAGCGATTTTTGTCATATTTGCCAAAGTTCGTCAATCGTCCTTTCATTATTATTTATAAATCGCAAACATGCAATTCTACCTCTCAAATGTCATGAAGTTACTTGCATTACTGTTCAATTTCAATTCGTTAACGAGACAGATGACAAGTGAAACTTTAAATATGTCTATATAATTTGAGAATAAAAATAAAAATATGCATCTCATCCTTTCTTTAGTTTCAATCTGGGTCAGAATAATTTATATTCATTTTATTTACATGGTTTCAGATGTTGTGAACTGCATCGTTACCTTGGAATTAAATTCAAAACTTATGAAATAACTAGGACGAATTATTGTTAGATCAAATGAAGACAACATATTTTAGTACAATTACATTTAATGATTCTGGAGTTCTGGGACCTCCATTTGCCTATTGCACGAAGATCTGTAAAGAATAAAGTTATCACAGTTTTATTCAATGAAAAAGATACTCCTCACAACAATTAGATAATCAGCTTTTTTTAATTGCAAGCAGTAAAATCCTTACAAATTTATAATTTTTCACAAATCTTTGAAAAAATTTTCCAAGAGATTTCCTCCAATGATCCGATTGAAAGAATTTCAATTACCTTTACTTAACGGAAAATTTAGCACTGCAGATCTGCTGATAATGGACATGGCGCAACAGTGATAAGAAATATGTTTAAATCAAACTAAGAGTCCCATAGGTTTTATATTATATGAACAAACTGATACTTGAATACTTCTTTCTATTTTTGTGGTATGAAAGATATTTGTAAATTCAGCACACTTTGAATATACCTATAGTAGTAAAAGTACATCATGAAACAAAAACCATTTGAAGTTGCTAAATAGGCACTGGAGATGTACCATTCCGGTACTTTTTCTTTATGGATTCCTTGATTTTCGCAAGTTCTAATTCAAAAAATTCAGCCTTTGAGGTCTTCTGAAAAGATTAAATATCTTCTTCTTTACTTTCATAATATAACTGGCTTCGACTGCCAAGATCTTACGAATGATATAGGTACCATGTCTTTTTGAAGAGAGAAAATGAAAACTTCTTTTTTCAAAATTGAAACATTTGGTTTTGAAAGTCTGTAGTTCTTTAAAGTAGTGGTAAAATGTAAAAAGGAATTTTAAATGTATAATACTCATTCTAATTATCATCAGAAAAAAATTGCAGTTATAGATTTTTGTTGTAATCGAATATTCAATTACTTCTCATTTGAATTATCCCACATTTACCCCGAATTCTGAATGTACCAGTGGCCATTTTGGAAAGAAATCTTGAAATACATTCGGAATTTAATAAATGATATTTGATACGTCAAGAAGAGTACTGCGACTACGCCACTGAAGATGACTGCCGCAGTTGCAGTTGAAGCGTTTGGAGATTATAACCAAAGAAGACCACGACAAAACCCGGAAACCAACCAAAACCTTGACGCCAGCCTACATTCCTATAAATGATAAAATTATTCAAGTAACACTTTATCATGAGGTTTTCAATGAACAGTTTACAAAACATAGGCAACGAAAAAGCTGATAAGTGAACCAAACAATCTGCTCCATATAATGGTCTTGAGCTAGTGTGATGTTCCTGAAACACCTTCATGAAGGGACAGCCTGAACTACATCAAAGTTTCCAAACAGTGCATATACTTCAAAGTATTATATATCATTGAATTCTCATTTAATTTGATGAATTTTTGCCAACGTAGCACAAGTCGATTAATTCCGTCAACATGAAAATTGTATGTTCGGGATTCGATGAAGTCGACGAAGGCCGTTTATACCTGGTTCTTATTGGTGATGGTTCTACCGGTGAGAAATATATTGAAGGTCTTGAAAAGATGGTAGTCGGTTGGAGGGAGGCCTGGGGAGTATGATAGGTGAGGCAGAACTTCGACGCTCAATTTGTTTAATTTTTGGAGGGTGATTTGTGATCCGTGCGGACGGACATTGTCGTGGTTAAGGATCAGACCTCTTTCGTCGATTTCCTCACAATAGGACTGTGTTGTTATGGTTCGGTCCGGTTGCAGGAAGTAATAGTGAATCACATCAGCCGCTGACCACTATACAGTAACCATGGTCTTTTTTTGGTGAGTTTTCGCTCTTGGAAAGTGCCTGGATAGCTCATTGGTGTCCAATAGGCGTCCTGCACGTCTCCTGTAACACCAAATAGCGCTGTTTCAACCTGCCACATAGGTTTCATTACCTAGAACCCTGGGGAGACTTGTGTCTAGTCGAAACAGCGCTGTCTGGAATGCTGGACTACGATTGGTTTGTCTTTGTGTTCTGGTTTAATTAAGTTGCCTTTTAGGGAAATTTGCAATGAAAGACAGAGGACGAACCTCGTTCGTCTATCGACGTCAAAGTTTTGCTATGTAACTGACCGCCTTGGGGATCCTCGTTTATCTTTGATATTCACGAAATTAAGTGTTCTGCAGATCCCATGGATGGTGTCTTCGTAAGAGTAGATGTCATCACCTCTATTTACTAGGTTAGGTCAAAAATGAGTGGGTCTATTCGACCCTCCAACGAACCCGCAAAGGTTTATTGTGACTTCTAGGGCTTGTCCTTCAAGCAATGCATTCGTGTTTCAGCCTAGCAATACGATTGTGTAATTCAATGTTCATGTGAAAAAAACTTCATTGTGAATAATTTATTTTGAATTTTGTTGCTTTTCTTTCTTCTTTCAGAATTTTTTTGATGGAGAAGTAGCAAATCAAAAAGAGTTTTTTTCCCAAAAAGATTGAAAGAAGCAATAAACTTAATCAATAATAGCCAGAGGGGAACTTATTCGATTGGTCAATTTTTTATAGATTTCGCTCATAACTCGCGTCATGTATAACATAAAACAAGCAATGAGCTTGTTGCTTATTGCTTGTAACTCTTGCATTCCATCACGGCTCGAACAGTCACCAGTCTATTTCAATTCAGTACTTTTTATACCAATCGTCTCTTATTTCCCAAATATTAATTTCAGTTTCTTGATAATGTTGAATGAAGAGATGATTCGCATCAATGATTTTGCCAACATTATTGTTAAGAATGTCTTATTTTGGCATCAACGTGTGAACTGAGCTCTATGCATTTTAAAACTCGTTAATGTTTTTATTAATATTGATGTCTAGTGACGGGTTTGAAACCACTACAGGCTAAATTGAAAAATTCTAATGATCGCAATTATATTCAAACAGAACATTTCATTCATAACCTTGAAAATAAGATGAAGGAGACCAACATCCATATTATAATTTTATTTAGAAATAGGTAATTGTTCGACCAGGATTTGTCACGCCATAGGCATCTTTCACGCAAAGTGTCAATTCAGTTACAGAAAAGAATCACAGGTGATTTGAAGTGGAAATAATGTCTCAAAGGTTATACGGAAAAGTGGTTATCTTGTTCTTCGCAGTTTCTTGTTGTAAGTATATATTTGAAAGTTATGACCTCTCATTCTTCTGCATAGCATGTATTGTTGGGACATGAATTATAATTCATCTCAAATATTTTGACTCTACATGTTCCACCTTTATTCGTTTTTGTGAGTTACTTCGGAACTAAATACGGAGGCAACTGGAAAAGGGTACCAAAATGAATTTATTGTTGAAATATTGACATTTCGGTGTCAATTGGCGTAATTTTTTACGGTTATGTGGGGGATCTTATCGCCATCGCTATATATGGAAAACTAGAGGGGAAAAGTTTTAAAAACTTGGTTTACTAATGTCAATGGGGTAATTGGTGAAACTATTTTCAAGATGGTTGTAATTCCGGTTACACCGGAAGTAGGTTTGAACTAACTTTATTTGATATGGAAAACCCTAGTTAGGTATTATTAAAATTTTAACTTCTGAATGACATTCTTAGCAGATTTTTTGTATCTTGCCCGAAACCTGAGCCTAAGCGTTTTTGAGAAATTTTCAAAAATAGCTCCAGGTTTTCTCGTTTTACAGGTAGGTCCAATCGTTCATTTGGAATTCTTTCAAGGTGAATATTCACCTACATGCCAATTAACCATCATGATCAGAAAATGGAACAGCTTTTGAATTGAAGTAATACAAACAATTATTGTGCATTAATAGTAATATCAGTGACGATGAATATTAGTTCTAGAATCATGTTAGATGAGAAACAGTCAACGAATCCGGTAATTTTTTTTGTACATACCAACACACCTACACATCAGTTTCTTTCAACTGTAAAACATATATAAACAGTCAGTTTTTGTAGAAACTACTGGGTAATTTTGAAATTACGTCTGTTGAAATTGCCCCTATAATCAGATTTTTCTGCAATATATTGTATAACAGCAGCAAGTCTCCGCTTCTCACCAATTCTAAAGGCAAGACATAAGCAAACATTACTTTTAGTTCATCTGTCTTTTAATTGTCAGTTTTATGTTCTATATTTTAACTCTAGTTCTAAATAATTTCAGCTAGTTGTTCAACAGATATACACCGAAGACGATTTAGCAAACTTCTTCCCAACAGAACTCTAAAATAGTTACTTTTGACTTGTTTGTAAAAGGTCGCATTTTTTTCATCGGGTCGGTATTTTCTTCATCGAAAGTAGCCAATTCTACTGATATCAGCAGTCAACATTTATTCATTACTTGATAGTTACACAATTACGTATACATTCTCTCCTGCTACAAAAAAGTGGGAAACTCTGAAAAAGAGAAGAAAGTAATTAAGTTCAAAATTAACTCCTCATAAAAATGTTACTTTCAGATACAAACTACAAGAAAAAGCTGTCCCGAGACAACAAGTTTCATTTGAACATTGAACTACAGTGTACAAACATTGAACTACATCTTAACTAAATTTTTTTCATATTTTAAGGAAATTATTTTTCGTCTACGACGATGATTTTGAAAATATTTTTGATATCCAAAAAAAAGCCATGATAATTAAGATAGTTGTGCTAAATGGAAATGGGGGAAAAACTAATTTGTTGAAAAAAAATCCCACTGGATACTTAAATAATTTAATTTTGAATGCATGAAAATATAACTCATTCGCCCTTTTGCTGATGAATTTCACATAATTTTGACCAGGGAATCTTCATAATTCACGGAAAGAGTTCAATTGACTTGGCACATTTAATTCCGCCAAGAGCGGTAGGTACATATCAAAAATACGCGACGGACTGTGGCTGCCCATCGTTTTGGGTTCAACTCAGTACACCTTGAACTTCACTGATTAAGAACTCTTTCATTTAGAGAACTGCGTTTATGTTGAATGAACTTACTGAGATTGCTTTTCCAAATGAATTTAATATCCAATGATTCAAATCCAACGTGTATCGCTACTTTCGCACAGGCACCGCTTTTAGAGCGCTTTAAGAATTTTCCTGTGGCGCTTGTATTTTGTCCTTAAAAAAAAAGTACTTGAGGATTCTTACAACCTGCGCATTCCTCGGACCATATCGAAATTAAGAAAGCTCTTCCTGCATTTGACAAGCTGTATGGTTAATGAAAGAACGTTCCCTGCAAGTGGTCGTCGATGGATATCTCTCGAATACTTTCACCAGCAACACCGGAGTTCCTCAGGGATCCATATTGTCTCCAACCCTCTTTTCATTGTATATCAAAGACTTATTGAAAAAAAAACAAGAATCCAATATATTGCTTTGCTGACGACAGCACACTTGTCTCGTCATTCCATTTGGATTCCAAGACGTCGGCTACGGAGGCACATCTTCACCGGCAGCAGGAGGTTGCATATCTTAATGAGTGATTTCGCATATCTTAAGAAGTGATTTCGAATTGGAGTGCAAGTAACCAGGTTCAATTCAATACCACAAAAACTCAAGTATCGGTTTTCTCCAAGAAGATAAATGTCTCCGAATCGAATATAATAGTGTCAGGTCAGACAAATCCACTTTCTACTTCGATAAGTTTGTTGGGAGGTAAAATGGACACCAATATATCTTGGCACAATCATGTCGCTGGAATTGCAAAGGCTGCTTCTCAGAAGCCTGAAACACTGTTTCGAACAAGAAAACTATACATTCCTTAGCAACTTTTGATGCTTTATAAAGGTCAGATCAAACCTTCTTTGGAGTATTATTCTCATGTATGGAGCTCTGTTTCCAAACATACCCTGAAGTTACTGGATTCCATCCAGAAAAGAGCCATCCGCCTGATTGGAAACGCGAACATCACGTGTAACCTTGATAGCCTGGAACATCCAAAAAAGGTTGGAGATTTGTCTCTCTTCTATAGATACTTTCATGGGAGGTGTTCAAGTGACTTGGCACATTTGATTCCACCAAGAGCAGTACATATCAGAAATACGCGATAGATTGTGGCTGCTCATCGTTTTGAGGTTCAACTCAGTACACCTTGAACTTCACTGTCTGAGAACTCTTTCATTTGGAGAACTGCGTTTATGTGGAATAAACTTCCTGAGAACGTTTTTCCAAATGGATTTAATCTCCAACGATTCAAATCCAATGTGAATCGCTAGAGATTTAGTGCTTGTGTTTTGTATTTTCTGTTTTGATATGGTCTAGGAGCGCGTGTGTGAGAATTCTCAATTCTATTTTTTGATTTGACAAGCTGTACGTAGCATTTTCGATTTCAAAACTAGCCATTTTTGCGAATGTCATACAAGCTTAGCAGGTCCCATTCGTATGCTTTCTTTACTTCAGTTTTGTAATCAGTTTTAATTCATCATTCTAAGTGCAATACTTTCTTACCAAATATCACTAGTATCTGAATTATTGGTTTCATTAGAAAATTTTCCTCATACATGAATGTTTTAGAAAATTATCAATCTGGATAACTTTCAAAATTTGTATCTTATAAAAAAAGTATTAACTCAGACACTAGTGTATTCTAAATAAAATTTGAAGTCGATATTATTTCTACAGGTATATATTCGTGGACAATTCACATTTGACTGTGTTCTTTTCTGAAACAGATATTTATCTGGCTACATTAAGCATATAGTTTGAAAATTGTCAATATAATCGAATGTTACTTTTCTTAGCCCTTTTAAAACTTTATATGAATTGAGAACAATAGAAACAAACGATCTTCTCATTCATACGTGACATAATATGAGTATTTCATCGATTGAAGACCGAACACAAACAGTCAGCATTTCCTGTGCTTTTAAATAGGAAAAACAATACGTGGTTTATCGCACACGATGAACTACCTCGTGTCATACGATAAACGAACAAAATCTAATCATTCATTCAATATTATTTCAATGTAAATATTCAATTTACTTATTTATTTGCACCTATTGAATATCATGAAGGCATACCGGGTTATTTGGTACATTAACTGAATTACTACCACTGGTTTTCATATTCGTTTCGAATTGTTTCAGCTGTTAGAAAACGAATTGACAATCTGGCGATATTCTGATTTATTATTTTTAAATAATGTGTAAAAATTCTATCCGAGATAACACTTTTGCTAAGAAAGTGGTTAATGAAATGATTTGAGCAAAATTGGAAAAAATTAAATAATAATAATAATGATAATGTATTCGATCAAAGAATGTAAACTTTCACGTCTGAAGATAGGAAGCTATTTTTCGGGAGTTGGTGCTCGAGTTGTTGTTTCTGTCGTTTTGACCGCATTAACTACGATGGTCGATGGTCTGGTTTTATATTATTATCAGTGGGCGTGGCCTTGTTTTTGTACCTGTAAGGATAGGTAGCCAGATTTTATTGATGTTCATTGCCTCTTTTTTTCTACTGAAATTATCCCTGTGTTTTTGCCTCTATTGGCTCTACATTTACTCTTGGATAGTAATTTTGAGTTTTATCGAGTATAACTGTATCTTCCAATGAGATAATGTGAATGCCTTCCTTGTTGCCAGCATGTTCAGCTACAGCTGATTTGCCGGTTTGTCCGAGTCGACAATTTCTCTTGTGTTAAGAGAGACGGGTACCCACACTTCCTTTCGTGGTTCCAATGTAGACCAACCCACAGCTACAAGGAATCCGGTATACCCCGGGTGTTTCTAAAGCTTCTCTAAGGTCCATAGCTGACCTCAGACTTTGTCTGATGGTTTTTGTTGGCCCAAATATTGGTTTCACGTAGTGTTTCTCTGATTCTCCCAATCCGGTCTGTAACATTTTTAACATACGAAAGGAGGAAAGCTTTTCCCTTGACCAGACTAACTGGGGTTACTTTGGCGTTTTCTCTTCTGGGTCTTAGGGCCCGCTTGAATTCTCCTTCGTGGTACCCTCTGAAGGCTTTTTACAGGTGATTGAGTTTCTCGAGAAGACTATCAGGTTCACGAATACGTCGTGCTCTCTCAACCAATCAATGTTTTAACTATTTCTCTCTTTTGTTGTGGCTGGTGATTGAAGTTTTTTTTCAAAATACATAAACATGATACGTAATGAAACAGGGAGGCGGTATACAACTCGATTGCTCTTCTATAAATTATGTGT